CTAAAGTAGGACTTCAAATCATTTCAGATATAAAACACACAATTGGGTCAACATTCAAATTTTCCTTCAATTTTCTTTCAAGTTTTTGTGGACCAGGAAAACTTTAAAGGCAGGTACAAAACGCGGACTTGAATCATTGACATATTTGCCAGACAACTGAGTTTCCCATTTGTCTTCCATGTAAAGTATCGATCCGGTCCAAACTTTCTACCTTCCCAAATTTGTAGGCGTAGCATTAGGTTTTTACTGCTTACAAACAGTCTGTAGGTCTTCGACTTACAAAAGCATATAAACAAAACATATAAATAGAAAAATTAAACAAACGTCTTTTAGACTTGATATTAGCCCAAGTACTGCGTCTTGAGTAAAAGAAGCCTGCGTTAATCAGTAACCGAAAGAGAAATAAAGAAAAACACGACGCCATGCACCACAGGTAGCCCAAGCTCGAAATATGAGCATCGGAGAGCATTGGCATTCAATTCAATTCAATTCAATTCTTTATTTCACACTATATAAGATATTTACATAAGTATACGTAGGTAGGAAAATAAAGTAGCTGACAAATAATAATCACTAAAGACATTAAGTTCATTTGTGTACAGTGTCCAAAGTAGCAAGAGCTTTCTTCGGTGAGCCTGGTCAGGTGTCCGAGGATTGCGGGCTTTGGTTGTTTTGTTGTGTTTAACGTCCCATGCAGGAGGGCCGCGAATTAAAACTTGAACTCTTGCGCGCGATAAAAATAGTTCAGAATGAATTCCTCAGCGGAGAAACACAAGATGTAAACGTAAACACCCTTTTTTGTGGGTTCTTATCGCTCTCATCTTTCACCATTTCAGCTTTGTATTTTTTTAATAATGTTTTGTCACCTTGACTCGTGCCCAGATATGCCCTGATCGCATCAAGTGGTCTAATTTTCACGAAATAGCAGTAATGGTGTTTTGTCGTAACTGACTACCTGGTTTCCAGGAGCTAAACCTTAATCACGCTGTGAGATATTCTTTAACCCTTTTACGCTACTTACGGCGAGGCCGAGATCGTCACTTAGTGTCATCTATTTCAATTGCTATGTGTAATAATTAACTATTACAGCTCTCGGGTATATGATGTAATGATTAACTATTTCAGCTCTCGGTATATGAGGAACAACCCCGGCGAAGGTGACACCAAAGAAATCTTTTGCAAACTTCAATGCGTTCAAAACTCCTTGCTAGTGTTTAACTGCCAAGCAACAACTATTCACACAATGCTTGATTGATTCGCTTGTTTCTTAATTATGACATAACCATCAGGAGACTTTTGTTTCGGTGGGTTAGAAACTTCGCAACAATTAGCTCAAAGCTCGACCGGATGTTGTCTGAACAAAAGCGAGCCTCTCCGAGAGGCGGTGTTTTTTGCTTGGAGTTATCAATCACCCGAAACTATCTGTGAGTCAGTTTTAATCACCAATAAGCGCAAGCACTTCTGTCGAGTATTTCCCTGTGGGCATGTAGATACGTGTACAAGAAACATGGTACAAGCTGTTGAATGAAAACAATAGCTACGCTATTTTCAGAGAACATGATTTTCAAGACCCTGAATGATAAAGTAAATTAGCCATCATTAAATTGTTAACAAGTAAATACCTAAGCTTTCCAGATTGAGTTAAGAAAGTTATCAGACATGAAAAAGTTGCTGTTTGTGCCTGGCTATATTTTAATGTGTTATTAACATGCAACAGACTTTGCAACCCTTACAGAAACATTTATCTAAGTAATATCTTTATGAACGTATATGTCTTTTCAAATTTCTCAGATAAATGATATTCACGGTATTTCCTGTAGGCTGTCGAGTATCAAACAAATTTGGCTCTTTGTCAAAACCAAGCATCATCGTTCTGTCTTGAACACCATTTGTATCAACTGACTCTCTTTCTTTCATTTTTGTCTAAAAAAATTTAGAGCTAACTCAAAATTGAGAAACAGACCGCCCATTGATGTATTCAAATTTATCTTTGTTATAAGAAAAAAGCAAACAAGGATTCCTGTTTTCATTTCATGCTTTGTTTTGTTTCCTGTTAATCTAACTCTAAAGACTGACTTTCGCGGAGGAAAATTGCTAGATGACAAGACAGCCTTGTTCAACATGAAAGTGGTATTGGTAATCTTTTCGAATATGGCTCTTGTCGCCCTTCACTAACTTCTAATTCTGATCGCAAGGCCATAAATTTTAGCAAAATAGCATTCAACTGTCTCTCATATCACCGTCTTCGTAAGCAAGGATATTTTTACAAGCATCCTTTGTATTTCCAAGGTCAAGAATAACTTTTCATCATCTTCTTCCATTGTAGTTACAAATCACGTGAGATTAATCAAACGCATTTTACACAGCTGAAAGGCCTGTAAGGATTTGCTTATTCGAATTTAGCAATAAAATAAGACTTTAGAGCTGATGGTATATTGCCTGTGAATACAGCAAAAAAACAGTTCTCTAAAGTTTTTCTCTTGAAAAAAATCATAGGCAAGCGAAACAGAGGAAACTTTCTTCGTCATAATTTAAGACTAAACTCGAATGAACCACCCCTAATCTTTATCCCTAGTCGGTTTTGGGAATAGGTAGGGAGAGGAGGGCACCTAACATACCTGGGACCAGGAGCCCATCTGGGCTCCTGATGGGACCTATTAGTCCTACTCGCACCCACACCCACTGGATAGGTCTGCGTCCAGTAAAGCTAGTAAAGATTTAAGGTGTTTGTCAATCTATACATTCAGTATTCTTTTCCTTTGGCCAATTGTTGAATACTTCTTGTTAAATTAAGCTTTTCCTCGGTTAGTGACAAGTTTTCGTTGTCAGATAGAATCCTTACTGCATGATGCAAACACTGTGTGTGGCGAAGGGATACAATCATAACGTTTTGGTTAATAACGCAAACGATATCTAGGAACTCCGGAATCTAACATCTAAGGCCCACTAAACGAGGAAATCGGAAAGTGACCGGAACACCAGACCAGACATTTCACTTAGGACAAGGAGCAGACAGGAAAATAAGCTCAAAGTGGCTGATAACTCTAAGGCACCTGACAATAAAAAGCAAAGGCTGACATAAACAATTATATTCGTTTGACATGTCACGAATTATTGAGTAGCTACATAAAATGCAGAGTCGTTGCCCATGCGCTGGGGACTTCTTCGTGGAGTGATTTTAGTCGTGTTATCCTTAGCTACTTTCAATTGGCCGTTTTCGCTGCCTAGATTGACATTTCGTTATTCTCCAATTTATGTTCAATTCTCATAGAGTTTCGTGGAGCTCTCGACGGTTCTAAAGGAGTGGGTGTTGCTGGTTCCAAAGAGATCATAAACGATGTTTCCAGATCATTATATCCCTGTTAAATTAACAACAAAAAAACGACATTTATGCGACAACTGGTGTCATAACGCTATCCAGTGGATAAATCTCTGTCTTTTTTCTCTCTTATTGTGGCGCTTTTGTGGATTGCTCGTGAGCTTTCATGCTTGAATGGCCCGTTGCGGCAGCTCATTTAATATTATGCTTAAATGTCCGGCCATTCTGGGCGATGGGACACTGCAATGGTTTCCCTAATACTCATCAACTGGATAGAATAGTGACTTCACTATTCAGCTTTTGAACAAATGAGGGCCAGGAATGAGAAAGCGAAGTCTCGTTTGCTTTCTGCACTGCTAGTTTTAAAGGCTGCAATTATTCCAGAACAACATGACCTGGTAGGGTGCTCTCAGTCCGGGATTTGACGCAATTAAAGTGCGGGTCTTGGAAAAACACAAACTTTCTTGAAGGAATACCACAGGCCACCCAAACTAACGTTATAAGGAAAGAGTGTAAAGTAAGACGCGTGACCCTTCTGCTGGACGCGCCGGTGTCGCGTTACAGGCGACCGTTGAAAATAAGAGACTTTGTATGGGAAATAAAATACTGAGATCTTCGAACGCTAAATAACGTTAAATTTAATTTTTCCTTCTATGAAATGAATAAAAAAGACTTACCTGCGATGTATTCCATTGTGTTTCAGTGTCTCACTATTTCTCGGGTATCGAGTCTCGCCGAAGTCTTGGCACGGGATGCGGTCCGGAAGAAAACTTGTATTCAGGATGAGATGACAGAAGCTCGGATGAGGGATCAGGACCCCGCTCCCTCTCTTCCAGACTCTGTACCAAACACAACCAGGGTAGGAACTTCATTATCTCTGAGAGATAGGGATACTTAACATGTACTTTCCTCTTAGAGGTCCATGTATATTGCAAATTTTGACCTCACTTAGAGATTTTAGGGTTAGTCACACACATCAATTGTACAAGGAGCAACCTTTTGACATAACTTGGGATAACGAGCTTTTTTTACTATTTTTAAACGAAACACTGCTAGCATCTTTTAGGAGACTCCACCAGAACCCTGAGTTTCTTTTGTCGCTTGATCTGTTTATTTTTTAAGCTTTGTTGATGGTTCAGTCTATTTTTCTTTTTTCATGTCTTATTACTGATGGGCTAACTTATCCGAAACCGACTGACCATGACCGGAGTGTATGAAAGGCACCGAGACAAATTAAAAATTTACGTAGACGAACTCATGGCTGAACAACCAACTGACCGAACGATTTTATGGGCGTGTCTCAAATTCATCACCACCCCTTAGAGGTACCAATATTCAGCAACAACAAATTATATAACTGGCACTTCAAATTTTAATAGTAATAAAGATAACATGAAAACTTTCGAACACTTTCCTCTAACGGACGTTTTGAAAGTATTGTCATATTTCTTTATCCTATTCAGTCATTTTAGGTTTTAGCACCCTAAGAGGTACCAATGCACAAATTGAAACCCCTAATAGGTACGACGAGCACCGCCGTCACTTTTATATCATCCAAAATTAAAATTCTGACATGAACGTATTATTGAGCAATATAGATTTGCAGGAAGGAAAAGGGCACAAATTAAAAGAAAAAAACAAGGTCTTTGACCTCAAATCCCCTTCAGTTCAGAGGAGCCTCTCAGTTATCTGATAAAGTCACCAACAAAGCATCAAACTCTTTGACCATTTCCTCAAATGTAGGTCTTTGTGTGGGCGATTCAGGCCAACATTTCAAGATAATCTGATGACTAAGCGAAAAAGATCACACGAAAACACAAAATATGTTTTCCATGACTTCTGGAAATCGCTGTCGGCTCCTTGTTCTATTTTCTACGCATATCCCGAGCTAAAACGGGTTCAAAACGACTATCGGTTCTTCGATTACCGTTTAGGAAGGCTTTTTTTCCCTTGCTGTATTCGCAGCCCTCTGTTTTCGTTTTATCGTACGTTATTTACGTTATCGAACGTTATTTTGGATGTAGGTGCAAAAACCGAGTGCGAGGAGGTGGAGCTGAGACGAGAGCCCACTCATTACATCCTTTGTATTTTATAGACTGAGTTTGGGGATGAGCTTGCTTAGAAAGAGAGTTGTTAGGCGCCCATTTTGGGCAGGGCACATACCGAAACGTGGTTGGTTATTGAGAAACAGGGCGTTTAAAATGACATTGTGGGGTTTAAAGTAAGCTTTTTCAAAACCAATACCAAGTTCTTCGACACAAACACATACCAATGAAACCATTTCTGGTTCACTGATTTGGGAAATGATAACGAAACCAGTTCGGCTACTTACGTGCTCTCTGCGTGGACAGCTGAGTGGCTTTTCCATTCGGTATCCAGATTTTAAAAGGTCAAACAGGTTTTCTAAAGGAACGACAGAGTAAGGTGACCCACCTAGAATCATTTATTGAAAGACGTTAATAGAAGTGCGAATATAAACCGTTTAAAATACGTCAAAAGGCAGCCTAGTCCCTATAAAACGCCATCTCCCTTGTCCCGATGTCCGCGCGACGTCAAGATTGACCAACGGGCTAGGGTGATGAAATAAGTTGAATAAGGAAGTTATTTCAAGAGAAACAAGAAGAAGCAATTTTATATACGTTCCTGCAGTAAGAACTGAGACCGCCAAGAAAAGTTCTTATTATAATGGCTCAGTTGTGTATAATAATTATTTAGTAAATAAGAATTAGTTTTAATTGTTATACTGTGCTATTATTAACTTATAGTTACTTAGTTTCTTATTATTAATTTTGAACTCTTTTATTAGTCTTAATTTAGGGCTCCTATTGATAACAGATATACTTTTAAGTATTCTGAAGGGATTACCCTAGTTAAATAAAGGTTTACTACTAGATATTATTCTCCACCTATGGCTTTTTTGTCTCGTGGATATCAATGCCACTTACGTACCAAAAGTAACTATTTCCCTTAAAAATATTCCAAAGGACCACCTGATGAAAGAATGGGAAAACATATTGTTACCATATTTGATTCCGTCATGGAGTTCAACAGCAATTATCAGCACTGAAGCACACGTACCATCTCCGAGGTATGACTAGTAAAGGGTCTTTAAGACATGGGTTCGCCCGTTCATAGACCCGACGGCCTTGCCATGCTGATGAGTCCCAAAAAGGGCGAAACAGCTGCCAAGGTGATGTCAGTGCTGATAATTGGAGAAGTTATTCAAGCTGCTTCACGGCAGGTTAGTTCAATTATTCGCAGTAAACTTGAAAAAAGAAAAAATCACTTGTTCAGAACAAAGAAATATGTCTTCAGAGCATCGTTATTCAAATTGATACAACAGATATATTATACGTTAGAAAAAGTTGATTGCAAACCGCTTCAAGTTTCTTTAATTTTGCCCATTCGTTCCTTCCTTTATATTTGGTCTATTTGCTATGTTGGCTTCAAAACTTATAAATAATTCATGGAGAAAAAACCGAAAGAAATTAATGTTTATTTAGTCTCTTTATATCTGATAAAGACACGGCTAAACTTGACCAAAATAGCCCCAAATCTAAATATTAGTGCAAGAATGAGTTGATATCAGAGATTTTGAAGCCGTTCAAAAAACTCGCAGTTGTGTATTATCGGGCGAGCCTCGAATTTTTGTGTTTTTAAACCTGATAATACACTCCCGCTAGTTTTATTCAGTACTTAACGTTCCTTCATCATTTCCGGAACCAGTCGCTGCCTAGCTAACGGCTGAATTTGGGCAAATTTTGTTAACTAGGCTCCATCATAAGCCATTTCCGCCCTTGCACCCGTCGTGTAAGTGCTAGTTGTCACCGTAGCGAATTAGAGTGAAACCTCGATACAACGAACCTTTATGTAACGAAGTCCTTGGTATTGGCCATTTTGGAGTTGCGTAAGGAACTGGGGCAGGTTTCAAATTTATTCTAATCGATGAACTGACACCACCAGATAAAAGGTCATGTTGAGATTGGTTATTTGACCAAGTTTGTTGCTCTAAGGTTGAACAGGGACCAAGTTATGACTCTTGAAACATAGTTAAAAACCATACAAACGTCTGTAATTTTGTTACAGCGTCACCCAAAACCATATAAACTCTTAATTTTTTTCACGATTTCTGTGATATTCCCGAAAATGGGCAAACATAGTAATTTTCGAATTAGTTTCTTCCAAGTAGTAGATGCTTGACGAATTTTACAGTTTGACAGAAAAACTGAAAAATATCTTAAAGATCGAGTTTACATGGTTTTGGGGGACGCGATCTCAAAATTATAAAGACGTTTGTATGAATCTTTAACCATGTTTCAAGGGTCATAACTTGATCCCTGTTCAACCTTAGAGCACCAAACTTGGTCAAATAACCTTTTTTATTACTCACTCAAAATATTTTCCCGATTCTGATTGGCTAAAAGCACACGTTTAATTCACCATAACCAGTTACTGAAGACCAAATTTGGAAGAATTCTGTGTTTAACGAGGAAATGACGTCAAAAATGCAGTGTTTTCGCAGGTTAAAGCACCGTTAACCGAGAAGACCTGGGGACGAGGTTGAGTTGCTTTGCTTGTGAACTTGAAAAATGGCGGACATTTCACTCGTTTCAAGAGTAAGAACTAGGCAAAAAAGTAGCTAAAAACATGGCAAGAAGAGCAAGAAGACAACTCGAAGGGCGACATCTGCTATTTGCAGAATATTTGCGGAGCTGCATAAACCTAAACGTGCACTATCGAAGATGAACTTAACATCGATGGATCGATGGAGGTAAGCATGTTTTAGCCACGTTTTTAAACTAGGAATTATTTTGAATGAATAATAAAACAATTATTGAATTCGGCTTTCGTATCATATGAAGAATTATGGAGATCTTGGAGGGTATTATCCGCCTGGCCTACGGCCTCGACGGATAACACCCTCCTCGATCTCCATAATACTCAGATACTCAGCCACATTCATTAATTGTTAAATATGGTGGTGTCAGTTTATCAGTTTATCAATTAATGTAAATTTGAAACTCGCCCCAGTTCCGGCCTACACAACTCCGAAACGGCCAATAACGAACGATTTTCTTTTACCTCGATATAACGAAACCTCTTTATAGCGAACAGATTTTGCCGGTCGTCCCTTGAGCCTTCGTTATATCGAGGTGCCACTGTAGTTGGTAGGCGCAACAGTGTCCACAGGCACTGGACGAAAGCCAGACGTGCCTTGATGTCCGGCACAAATGGCTCGATTTGATGGACAAACAATGAAGGTTTTTTCGAGCAGATCTCCCAGATAGTAGCTTGGGCTGGAGCTGAAAAAAAATTGCAGCGGATTTGAACTTCAGCGAAAAACCGGCATTTGTATGGCGACTTGCAAAGGCGGCGCTACAGGTGGGGCAAGTGGGGCATTAACTCCACAAATTTTCAACTTTGGGACAACTCAGATTTGTGCAGGCTAAGATATACTTTAGTCTGGCAAGCTAAGAATCCTTGGACCAGATTATCATACACTGTATGAGGCGATCGCTGCTGCCACAGCTACAAACTCTAAGAGCGCAGCTTTGGTACTGAGACAGATCTTGGATTGACACAAATGTACAGCGCTGGCCACAAGATCCCTAATTTGCTTTTTCATCCTTAATTGTATACTTCTTATAGGTGTGGAGGTGTGAAAGTACATTAATCTCCTTTCTCGTCCCAAGTTCTACACTTCTCAGAGGTGTGGAAGTGTGGAAAAGGCTGACAAAGGTAGGATTATGTCACACTCCCCCCCCCCCACCCCCCCAGTTACGAACCCTTGTCATTCTTTACTTAGTTATACACTTCTCAGAGGTGTAGAAGTGTGGAAAAGCCCCCCAACGTTAGGATATTGTCACACTTTTCCCCAAGTCACCAACCCCTTGTTATTCTTTAGTTAGTTGTATCCTTTTCAGAGGTTTCGAAGTGTGGAAAAGTCCAACGAAGTCAGGATATTGGTGCACTTTTCTCCCAGTCACAAACGCCTTTTCACTTTTACTTGGTTCTACACTTCTCAGAGGTGTGCAAGTGTGCAGTAGTCTGACAAACTGAGTTTAATGTTGCACTTTCCTTGCATGCCTCTCTTATACACTTCCACACCCCTGAGAAGAGTAGAACTAAGTAAAGAATGATAAGGGGTTGATGAGTAGGAAAAAAGTGTGATACTGAATATCCTGACTTTGACAGACTTTTCCACACTTCCAGTATTCAAACGCCAGCAGCTAGCACAGCAAGTTTGGCGCTTGGCAAAATTCAAAAGTGGCTGGTAGGACGGGTGACTTTGCAAATTGAATTAAAATATTATTTTTCGAACGTTTTTGAGCAAAGCCCATTATTACGCCTGCGTACTACATAATGGCAGATTGACCTGACTGAATAGTCCCGTATAATGGTGAATTCCTTTTTTTTAAAAAGGGCAAAAAATGACATAAATTCTGTCCCAGTTCTGTACAGTACCGCAAATGATGCCCAAAATGGAACACAAATGATCCTCTACCGTAAATAATCCCCAAACTGGACCGCAAATGATCCCAAAATAATAGGAATGGCTTGGACCCAAGTTAGCGGATCATCATGTCAATTTTATTGTAATTTTAAAATTGTAAAAGTAAAATTTTGCTTTTCAAATGAAAAATGCATTAAAGACTTCGTTCAAATAAAAAAAGCAATAAGAACTAACTTTTAACACACTAATTTTAAAACATCTTTAAATCTGAAAGAAACAAGAAAATAGCTACGTATCGCCGCGTCTTGTTCACTCAGTTACAATTTAACAATTAAGCTTAAAACGTACTGGTACTGGGGTCAGTGTCTAAATAAGTTTGTTAAATGGAGTCCCTAGCTACTTGTTCACAGTAATCCGAATGTTGACATTCTCTCTGGGATAACATTACTACCGCTTACCTCGCTTTTTGGTTTGTCATTACCAGGTTTAGATTCTTCGTAACTGTCTCCAGCAAAGGCACAACAAATAAAATACAGGTTAGTGACAATATAACTATAAGCAAGCTGCTATTTCGAAGTAAACGGAAACCTGTGCAGATTGATAAATTCGACTGACATTCTGACGTTTGTTATTTTAAATCATGTCTTGTCTCGTAAAGGGCACTCAGGTATACAAATGTCTTGCTTAAAATCACGTAGAATTAATATTTCAGAGAAAATCAAAGTTAAATATTCTGAGAATTAATTCGACACTTCCAAAAACAATCGTTTAAGTCAATAAAGCTTTTGCTATGGAGAGGGTGCCCAGGTTTCTATTCCTCAAGTTGAGCTTAATCTAGGGTTTAAAATAATTGAGTTAATTCTGCGTAATATCCTGCCTATCTTAGATTTTTACAGCGACGAAACGTAATTTGAAGCAATTGCCAAAGAAAGAAGTACGGCTGATACCAATCCTTTCCAGATTTATTCAATATTTTTACCCGTTGTTTAAATTAACCTGCGATCTTGTGTCCTTCTTCCCTTTTTCTTTAGAAGGCGAGAAGAAAAGGTTCTTTTTTTTCTCTTGCAAGTTACGTTGTAAACAGCCCCATTCTTCATCTAATATCAAACTAAGATCCATTCCATTCCTCAATTTTTCACGGGATCATTTGCGATCCATGTTGGGGATCACTTAAGGTAGAGGATCATTTGCGGTACAGTTCAGGTCTGTACAATGAACAAACAACGCCTGGTGCTTCTGTTTACCGCAGAGATGATGTAAAAAGGCTGGTTTACGCGCAACCAGATTTGTAAAGCAAACTTGTAGCGAGCCACACAAATGAAATCTTTCCTATAGACTCGATTTAGACAGAGAGATAAAACCGATAAGTTATAACGTGCAAATTGCCTGCCACCAGGGACTATCGTGTCTTTACGGCCTTTGTAGCGTATATTTCGGGACTGTCTTATTACCGTTATAAAATAAAGGTGGTGTAGGTGGGCAAATAGGTCATTTTGTTTGGGAAGAATTTGTTTTCCACGCCTAATTTACGGTGGTCAAAGGTGATTGCTATTTATTGAGTGTTCAAATACGACTATTTACTCGATGTAAGATTTTAGATGTAATCTCATTCTTGCACAGTTTGCAAATCCTTTTTTCGCTAAAATCACCTAGCCCCACCCTTAAAAGTCATATGGATATCCCCAGTTAACTGATTTGTGAATTACGACGGATTTTATTGTTTGATTTAAATCATGAATTTATCAACTGGAGCTACGCTTTTAGCCCCGGCTAAATCTATATACTATTTACAACAGGCCTTTGCTGGGCCCACGCCGTAGGGTAGGCCTTCCGAGTTTGGATGTTAAAAGTACGTAGAGTATTTTCAAGCAAAAAATGCTTTAATGCATGGCTGAAGGAGAACTTTAGTTGTACTCTCTCTTAGGCCTTCTGTGTTACAGGGACAACCTCTGTTTACGTTGTTGGTTCGTTTTTCTGAGCAAGTGCTTCGACACGAACAAGAGATTCTAAACGAGAGGAATGCGAGGACGATAATTCGGGTTTGAACCGTAAAAAAACTACTTCTAACAATTCACAAATTTTTGCATGTCACCTCAACAACATCGAAGGAACTTACCGCTTACGGAACTCTCCAGCTCACGCGTGGCCATAATTCTAACTCCTGATGGTCCAGATGGATAAAATGTATTGTAAACTGCCTAAAGACAACTTCTAGGGGGGTTAATCTAACAAAAAATCGGAGAAACCGACGGATCTTCCTCAAATCCAATATGGCCGACAGCTCGTTGCTTCCGCTTGTACTGCGCAAATCTCGCACATGCGTAGGTCGTGACATAGCTCCTTTAAAGTTAATTAATTGCAATTTGTTTAGTTGTGGTGAATGTTTATTAGCTTTTTTGCAAGGAATACCATTGTTGTTCGTGTGCGTTTTTTTGAGATATTTTTATTACTTTGAAAATGACAGAGTTCCTATAAAATTGTATACAATATTTAGTAGGTTTAGTTATTGTCTCATTTTTTAAGGTTTTATTCACTGAACAACAAAAACATAAACTGAAACAATTTTTTCTTATGGCTATGGAGAATTTTTTGTGTCTTTTCAGTCTTTTGCAGTAGGGATTTTGGCAATCACACCCTCTGCAACACCATACCCCTGGTTTGAATGTTTACATGAAGGAAAATGTAAATTATAAGGAACAAACACCGACAGGAGGGTAGTTGCCCCAAAACTGTTCCACCCCTCCATCAGGGTAGCTAAACAAGACGCGAAATTCCCCTTGAGCATAAAAGACAAATTCAGGATTTATTTATTCCTATTATCATGATTATTATTATTATTATTACCAAATTACTACAAAATTATTACAAATTGCGACAGTTATTATAAATTACTACAATTATTACGAATTACGATAAAACAGTCGTTCATTACATTTAGGCCTTCTGTATGTTCGTTTCTAAAAAACATTTTAAAAAATTGACCAAGAAGTCTTTATTTTTACTGATTGAAAAAAGAAAACGTAGTTGTAGTTCAGCAACTAAAAAACGTAATTGATCAAACAACATTCGAGGTCACCTCTTTATAATCTATTGTCACACGTCGGTCTCTATTGGTAACTGAGGAAAAGTGGCATCGCTTGTTTCCTTTTTATCGCCAGCTCTCTTAGGGATCTGGGGTTTCTGGTCTCTTTTTAATTGTCTCGTGGGCATCGATGGATTGCAGACTTCCCAAATAACGTTGGTATCATGATCAGGGGACACGCTGTCATTGTCCCTACCATCATTCTCCATTTCATGTTCAGTTCCTCCAGTGTTTCGAAGAGTTGACGGCGACACTAACGCGGAATTTGAAGCTCTTGTTGCCAATGGAATCATAGGCGACGCTTCCTGGTGAATTTCTTCCTGTAATAAGCAATGAATCACGAAAACTAAGCCACAAAGCTCTAATGGCATAAACTGAGACTTGTCAGTGACATATGTCAGATTTTCTCATTTGTTTACTTTTTGTTGTTATTGTCTCATTATTATTGTTATTATTATTATTATTTATTTATTTATTTATTTATTTATATGTACAGGTTGTAATCCCACTGATTCAGGTGTCAGAATGGGTTCATTTGCAGTTAATGAAAGAAACATGAGCAGGGAAAAGAGGAACCCTGTAGTTCCGGTCTCAACTATATCCGTCCTAAAGAAATCAGACAGGACTTAAATTGTTAAACTGACTTAAAGATGGACAACGGACAACCGACTTTCCGATTGAAATTCGACTTCAAATAACTTTTGTCTTACTCTTACGGTATGTGATCACTATATTGGCCGACTTAGTAAGGATTGAACCCACTTATACCTCTTCCAATTGACGTGTTGAGTCAACTTTATCTGATGGTGACACTGACATAGCATCAAACTCTTTGACCAGTTCCTCAAATGAAGGTCTGTGCATCGGTGACTCATGCCAACATTTCAACATAACCTGATACCTAAGGAAGCAAGAAAAACCCAAAACACGGATGTCTTTTTTTCTAGTTCTTCCATTCGCCACCTGCGCTTCTCCAAAAACACACCATGTTTGCCCCAAAATTTTGCATAAACGTTGTTTTCAATTTCTCTTGGGACAGTGAGAGGGTCCTTGCTGCCATCCGGGACCTTATCATATGTATTCTTAACTCATGAAAGCGAGGCTGTGGGAGCAGGGACCATGTGGCTGCTTCCTTCATTCTACATTTTTATACATTTCAATTTGAGAGTACAAGTAGTTTTTGTTGGTTGTCTTACTTTGGCCTCGGATGGGACTCGTTTTTTCAATCACCACGATAAATTGAAGCTTGTTTGGCTACTTACATGTTCTCTGGACAGCTGAGTGGCTTTTTCATTCGGTATCCAGATTTTAAAAGCTCAAACAAAGTTTCTAGAGGAACGCCGGGATATGGAGACCCTCCTAGAAAAGAGCATTTAAAAGATATTAATAAATTGTGACTATTATCCACTAAAAACGTGTAAATGGTATTTTCCTGCTAAGGAAAAGGCCTTCTTATTTTATGGGAAATGTTCCTTTTCTTTTTTCCTCGTCAACATAAAATGCCACTTACGTACCGAAAGTAACCATTTCCCATAAGAGTATTCCAAAGGACCAGCTGATGAAAGAGGAAAGAAAACAAATTAAAACCTGTTTGGGGTTTATAAACGGTGTCGAGGAAATTTAGTCCAGTTTGTTTAGTTTTACTATTTATTCACTTCGAAATTAAACGCTCAGTGCGAAGAAATTATCGCCTGAATGGCAAAACCTCAGCTTCAGAACAAGTCTCCTGCGTGTGATCATTCAAATTCATAGCACAACCGATTTAAACTTTAAGAAGCTGTTAGGCTGAACAGTTTTTTTAAAAAAAGGCAACTGCAATCCGCTTACGATATCCTAAAAATGGAAAACTTGTTTGAAGGCTTTCGTATGGCTGAATTTTGCTAAATTTTGTGATACGACAATTAAATTACACCAGGGTCACTAAAAAGCATTTCATATATGTCACTTCTTAGCAGTTACTAAGTAACATTTCAAGGCACTTACACGTCACTTTGTGTACTATAGACGCGATCAAAGAGGGATTCAACGGCCATCCACATGACTGGAAGAAGCCCCTAATTGAAGATGTATCACAAAATTAACATGAAGACAATGGTGTTAGTATAATCATGAATTAGGGCTTGTGTGACATGGAAAGAGGGTTTTTCTATAGAGGTCAGGAGAACTCTACCTCCCAGCATTGAAGTTTCCGCCGTTCTTTTCGTATAGTAAGTTTAACATGCTAGGGGCACCCTCCCTTACAGGTTCAAGAGATTTTACATGAGCAGAAAAGTTCCTACATCGGGGGGGCTTAATTATTGATTGCAGATTTCTCGCTCTCTTTCTGGGACTGGTTTTCGGTTATTTTGACTTCGAGGGTATGAACCTCCTTCGTAAAATGCTTTCTGTCAGGGTCGTTTGCTGCCATTCTTTCGAGTTGATATCTACAAAAATATTCGTCAGGTTTCAAGCTTGCAGAAAGAAGGTAGGGAATACCTACCCCAAGAGGCACCGTCCCGTGCCTGTAAAACGAACTGCGTGAAACAAAGGAGCCAGGATGGCCCTTCTAATAAGGGGCACCCTCCCTCATGTAAAGAAGGTAAATGGAAATTTTAAGCTCAGAAAAGACAAAATTGCTGATCCAGTCATAAGGCAGCTCAATGTAATGTTCTGGTTGTTCAAAAAAGGCAAAAAAGAAGAAACCTTTGAAATTTACTTCGTTTCATCATTTAACTTGATCGAAAAAACAGTGCGCAATACAAAAAGGCAGGCCGGAAAGGATGGTCCGAAAGTTCTTTTACAATGGTACAGATGACACAAGCACATGGACGGGAAATAAAAATGAAAATTGTAACGAATTGATAACTGTATCGTAACACCCAGGACGAAAATGACTTTTCTCTATCGACAATGCGTTATCTTCTTGAAAAGGGGAGGGGGACATTCATTGAAGAGGTGTAGCCTCTTGTTTGAAAATCAACCATATTTTTAGGATCGTTTAAGCGCTTCAAGCACACTATACTAAGAAATACTCACGTCTGTTGTTTTTCTGTAATAACCCTTTAGATGCACGTCTCTACATAGACCGAAGTCTGCAATTTTCATCGTATTATCCTCCGCAACTAAAACGTTTCTGGCCGCAAGATCACGATGAATACACTAATAAAAAGATAAGAAATTTGTTATTGACCTAAGCCTTAGCTGATGACTTCTCTTTTCATGCACGGAAGGCTTGCCAAAGATCGAGCCCTCGGTAACTCGTAGCTCGCGAAAACTCGAATCAGCGCCCACTGGGTTTGATCAATACTTAAATGCAACCTAAACAATAAAAGTAACAAAACTGAACAGAACAATGACAAAAGGAATCTAACATCATGATATGTTTTCACCGTTGAAGTTGGGTTGGAAAAGGATTCTTGCCAAAACTACATCACTGACCCCTCAATACCGACACCACATTAGCACACACATTCCAAATTCCCAAATTCCACTAAATCACTTATTTCACGCAGTGCATGGTGTGAGTAAAACGCTCACTTATTCCGGCAGTCATCTGAAAAATACCACATCTTGACACACACCTTTTTCGAAGACAGATATTCCATTCCTCTGCAGACCTGATACGAGAAGCAAACCAGGTCCATGTGTGTCAGTGTTGAACCGTTTTCTCTGACTGGCCTCCTGTCTCTCAATGCAGTTAAGGTTGTGGGGATTTCCCTGGTTGGCCTCCTTTCCCTCAAGAACTGTCTTAAGTTACCATTTGGAGCGAATTCTACCACTACATACAGCGGACCTGAAGGATAAAAGGAATAATAACAGTTTAGCATTGTAAAAATGCATTCTTTTTTTTAAAAAAAAAAAAAAAAAAACACCTCTAATTTTACGAAATCTTGGGTATTCTATTTTTTGTCTTGCTGATATGACTTGCAATGTTCTTCGGTTAAGTAATATATAACTTCTGAATACCGACTGTGATTTAAGCAATCACAAGTGTAGAATTGAACAAAAGTGCTTTTACTTTTTGGTTCAAGGCTGCATAACATGTTCTTATGACCCATTTTCAATATTACCCATAACGTTATAACAAAAAGATTCCGCAGCATGGCAAAGAGTGTACCTTCAAGTTTACAGAAGGGATATATTTTTTCTTGTTTTCCGTAGGGGAGAACTCCAATTTCTCCACCCAATTTCTCCGTCAACTAACCTCCTTGAGTGCAGGCGCCAATCAAATTGATTATGTTCTTGTGTTTTCCAATGGTCTTCATTAGCTCCAACTCTGAAACAAGATCTGTGTGTTCCTGTTCTGTGGCATCCTCTGAAATGCAGGAATTGACATAACAGTCCTAATGTTAACTATTTAAGTATTATATGACCTCCACCACGCTAACTTGCATTCGTTTGAAAACGCAAGCATTTTTGGGCCTTCTGGTCTTGTGCTCATACTACAAAAAATGGAGGTTTTAGAAGACCTCCATTAAGTTTTTGAACACTTGTATATTTAACAAGTCAAAAATGGCGGGAAAAGAAGGAAGTAGCACTGTTACTTGGAGTAGGCGCGCTAAATAATACAAATATCTGAGAATAACCTGGCGACTGCGAAGACTCATTGCCATGCAAATAGGCGTTTTCGATGTTTGAGTGTGGACTACCAGAAACAACGCCAAAACGATGGTTTCGATGTGGGGCTTTCGAGGCGGACGCTTTCGAACACCTTAGTATAAAAGTGCCTAAAAACCACGAGTACCCGCCTATTTTTGTCTCATATTTTTGTGTTGTTGTTCTTTTGTTTCACTTAAACAAGGTATCAAAGTTTAAGTCGCTATTCTGCAGTGGGGCATACATTTTTAAAACATTCTACTTGCTCAATCCATCTCACAATTAATTAGCAGGAGATGGAATACTTCGTTCTTGGAAATAGACGGGGGGATCACAGTAGTTGTATCGGAAAAAATTGGAGAATCCTTTTCCAAACTATAGCGAGATCACAGTAGGAAAATTAGCTGCTAAGAAATGTTTAAGGGAATTGCCTTCTTCGGGTGTGTATACAAAACCTGCGCTAGGCCACTGATAAGCCTGTGCCATGTCTTACCCTGTGGCCTACCGCGGCTATGGCTTGTCGCGCTGCTTCAAACTTTTTCGCGCTTATTTCATCTCGTTCAATTCGTCAAATGATAACATTTTTTTTTTCTTGAGTTGATTTCTAGAAGACTGTATCAAAGTTAAAGAAAAGAAAAAGAAAGCCTTTGTCTTGTGTTCACGTTCTCCAAAAAAAACGTTAAATAGGCATTTTCACGTCGTAGTCGTGCAGTGACGGCAAAGAAAAGTAAAAAAAAGTGTAATGCTCGTCGTGTATAGTTATTTTGCCAATCTAAACCTATTGCTTTTTTCCGTTCTCAATGCCGTCGCCGTCGTCGTTGCTTTTAAAAGCTCCCTAATTTTGCTTCAAAGTACGGAGCTTAGGAGAGGTATCGCCCTTTAGAGTAAATAAGGTAACTTCAAAAAGCATCTGTTCTTTTGTTTTCGTGGTCTGGCGGTATGACCCTATTTGCTTCTGGTCCTGGGTTTGAGGCTTAATATTTTCCCTTTTCTTCTCTTTTTTTTTTTAGCTTTCTTTACTTTTTTATTCTATTCCTTTTCCTGTTCTCTTTCCCGTCTTGACTTCTTTCTATTGCGGCAAACGATAAAAAATTTAATGAAATGGCAAAGCTTAGTTTTGTATACAACACCTAAATACAAAACTCACCTTTTATCATTTTGACCGCGACATGGCATCTGAAAGGCATATTGGGAATTCCAAACACCTCCGCCTTCATGACCCTTCCAAACGCGCCTTCTCCGAGAACTTCCTGCAGGTTGATAAGTTCTCTGTCGATCTCCCAGTTTTCGCCCACTGTTATGTCTACTTCGGAAACCTTAGTGGCAGATTTTAAAGAGGAATTAGTGAAAAGATGTTAAATATTGGTAGTGATTGCTAATAGTAATAGTAATAATAATTAGCAGAGAAACATTTTCGTGGATTATATTTCAAGAGATATTGAGACATAATGATCTTTTCTTTTTGTTCTAACAGATGTTAAGGTACAAATTTCGTTTTAATTCTTTTTTAAGTGAAGCACTGTACATAGGTCTTTTTATGAGTATTGAATAAAGACTTTCTTTATTATTAATGATATAATTTGTTATTATGACTTGCCGTTAATGAAAGAAAAATTCGCCGGGAAAAAAGAATCGTTTACTTCCGGTCTCAACTATATCCGTCCTAAACAAATTGGACAGGACTTAAATTGTTCAACTGTCTCAAAGATGGACTAACGTATAAACCGGCTGATATGAATGCAGGTACCTCTCGCCTTGAGGACTATAGACTTTCCGACTGAAATTCGGCTTCAAATAACTTTTGTCTTACTCTTACAGTACGGTATGTGATCACTATACTGGCCGACCTAAGTAAGGGGTGAACCTACTTATACCTCTTCCAATCGACGTGTTGAGTCAACTTTATCTGGTAGTGACACTAACATAGCATCGAACTCTTTGACCAGTTCCTCAAATGTAGGTCTTTGCATCGGTGACTCCTGCCAACATTTCAACATAACCTGATACCTAAGGAGGCAAGAAAAACCCAAAACACGTACAATATGTTTCTCGATACTACCGGATGTCTTTTTTTCTGGTTCTTCCATTTGCCACTAGCACATCTCCAAAAATGTACTTTGTTTGCCTCAAATGTTTGCAAAAGCATTGCTTTCAATTTCTCTTGGGACAGTGAGAGGGTCGTTGCTGCCATCCGGGACCTTATCATATATGTTCTTAACTCATGAAAGCGAGGCTGTGGGAGCAGGGACCATGTGGCTGCTTCCTTCATTCTACATCTTTATACATTTCAATTTGAGAGTACCAGTATTTTTTGTTGGTTGTCTTACTTTGGCCTCGGATGGGACTCCTTTTTGTATTTACCACGATAAATTGAAGCTTGTTTGGCTACTTACATGTTCTCTGGACAGCTGAGTGGCTTTTTCATTCGGTATCCAGATTTTAAAAGCTCAAACAAAGTTTTTAGAGGGATGCCGGGATATGGAGACCCTCCTAGAAAAGAGCATTTAAAAGATATTAATAAATTGTGACTATTATCCACGAAAAAAGTGTAAATGGTATTTTCCTGCTAAGGAAAAGGCCTTCTTATTTTATGGGAAATGTTTCTTTTTCTTTTTTCCTCGTCAATATAAAATGCCACTTACGTACCAAAAGTAACCATTTCCCATAAGAGTATTCCAAAGGACCACCTAATGAAAGAGGAAAGAAAACAAATTAAAACCTCTTTGGGGTTTATAAACTGTGTCGAGGAAATTTAGTCCAGTTTGTTTAGTTTTAACCATTTATTCACTATGAAACTAAACTTTCTGTGCGAAGAAATTATCGCCTGAATGGCAAAAACCTCAGCTTCAGAACAAGTCTCCTGCGTGTGATCATTCAAATTCATAGCACAACCGATTTAAACTTTAAGAAGTTGTTAGGCTGAACAGTTTTTTTAAAAAAAGGCAACTGCAATCCGCTTACGATATCCTACAAATGGAAAGAATGTTTGAAGGCTTCCATGTGGCTGAATTTTGCTAAAAGTAAAATTTTGTGACACGACAATTAAATAAGACTAGGTTCTGTAAAACGCATTTCATATACCTCCGTACTTAGCTGTGACTAAGTAACATTTCAAGAAACTTACACGTCACTTTGTGTATCATAAACGCGATCAAAGAGGGATTCAACGGCCATCCACTTGACTGGAAGAAGCCCCTAATTGAAGATGTATCACAAAATTAACATAAAGAGAATGGTGTCAGTATGACTATGATTTAGGGCCTGTATGACATGAGAAGAGGGTGCCTCTAGCTAGAGGTTAGAAGAACCGTGCCTCGTTTTTCATGAACAGTAAGTTTAATATGGTAGGGGCACTCTCCCTTACAGGTTCAAGAGATTTTACATGGGCAGAAAAGTTCCTTAAGTTAAAGTTTAAAAAAAACTAGACATTGATTGCAGATTTCTCGCTCTCTTTCTGGGCTTGGTTTTCGTTATTTTGACTTCGAGGGTATGACCCTCCTTCATAAAATACTTTCTGTCAGGCTCGTTTTCTGCTATTCTTTCGAGTTGCTATCTACGAAACTATTCGTCAGGTTTCAAGCTTGCAGAAAGAAGGTAGGGAAGCTCTACCCCAAGAGACACCGTCCAGTGCCTGTAAAACGAACTGTGTGAAACAAAGGAGAAAGGAAACTCAGCTACCCAGGATGGCCCTACTAATAACGTGTCATGTAAACAGGATATTTCTTTAAAAAAAATGGAAATTTTAAGCTCGGGAAAGACGAAATTGCTGATCTTGTTATAGGTTAGCTCAGTGTAACGTTGTGGTTATTCGAAAAAGGCAAAAAAGAAGGAACCTTTGAAATTTACTCCGTGCTCAATGCAAATAAGTCAACGCTCAATGCTAAAAAGTCAAACTGTTATCTTTCGTCCATATCAACGTAAGTTGAACTACTCGGTTAACATTGAAATTATTGATAACTGTACTCAATTTCCTACAACGCTTCAGTGTGAAGACCATGTTAAATATCTTGGCGTCCTATTGGACAGCAATTTAAGCTGGAAATTTCATATTAACAATGTCGCGTTAAAAATAAGCAGAACTGTTGGTGTTGTTGCTCGTCTTAGGCACTTCCTCCCACGTACAACCCTTTTAAATATTTATCAATCATTGATATTGCCTTATCTAACATATGGTTTGGCGACTTGGGGTCAAACTGCCAAAACCCATTTACAAAAAATTCTCGTGCTTCAAAAACGAGTCCTTCGTTTGATGTATTTTTCTGAACCCAGAGCCCATGCTGTGCCTTTATTTATTTCCTCAAAAATTGTACCCTTACAAATGTTATATGCTGAAAAAGTATCTTCTATAGTGTTTGACGTCTCCTGCATGAATGCTCCGTCTAACATCTGTGATCTCGTTACTAAAGCTAATTCAAAGCACAAGCATGCATGAGACCAGGGTTTCTTCGTCTGCAAATATGTCCAAAACTTCAACTTTGAATCTAAATCAAGATTCTTTTTCCAAGTTTAATTTGAAGCTAAACTTTGGAACGAAATTCCTAACGAATTTCGTCAACTCTCCAAAGGAGCTTTTAAAAAACATTTTTCATGACTTTTTGCTCTCGATAATGGAAGCAGAGGACGATTATGTTGAAGTGTCCATTCTCCTACAAAAAAAAACAAGTTCTGCAGCCTTGACTAAATGCACTAATAATTGATAGGTCCTGTTAGTAGTAAATTTTTCTTGTAATATCATTCTGTAAGACTATATATATTGTATCTTTAGCTAGCTTGTTTTTCTGTAATTCTTATTTATCCACAAAGTTTATTTAGGTTACTTTACAATATCAGCTGTTATGATTGCTGTAACCTTTCCTCTCCGCCGGCATCGTCTAGCTTTTGTTATTTGCGGGCGGAGATGGCAAAATGATGAGTATGAAAAGAAAGTATAGTGTGTGTGTATATACTCACGTCTGTTGTTTTTCTGTAATAACCCTTTAAATGCACGTCTCTACATAGACCAAAGTCTGCAATTTTCATGGTATTATCCTCAGCAACTAAAACGTTTCTGGCCGCAAGATTACGATGAATACACTAACAAAAAGACAAAAAATTTGTTATCGACCTTAGCCTTAGCTGATGACTTCTCTTTTCATGAATACCGAATGGCTTCAAGAAGATCGAGCCCTTGGTAACTCGTAGCTCGCGAAAACACGAATCAACGTCCGTTGGGTTTGATCAATACTGAAACGCAACCTGAACAATAAAAATAACAAAACTGAACAGAACAATGACAAAAGGAATCTAACATCATGATATGTTTTCACAGTTGACGTTGGGTTGGAAAAGGATTCTTGCCCAAACTACATCACTGACCCCTCAATACTTCCACCACATATGCACACACATCTCTTCAAAGTTCTTGGTCTTTAACCCAAATTCCACCAAGTCACTTATTTCACGCAGTGCATGGTGTGAGTAAGACGCTCACTTGTTCCGGCAGTCATCTGAAAAATACCACATCTTGACACACACCTTTTTCGAAGACAGATATTCCATTCCTCTGCAGACCTGATAAGAGAAGGAAACCAGGTCCATATACGTCACTGTTGAACCGTTCTCTCTGACTGGCCTCCTGTCTCTCAATGCAGTTAAGGTTGTGGGGATTTCCGCGGTTGGCCTACTTTCCTTCAAAAACTGTCTTAAGTTACCATTTGGAGCGAATTCTACAACTACATACAGTGGACCTGAAACGGAAAAGGAATAATAACAGTTTAACATCGTTAAAATGCATTCTTTAAAGAAAAAACAAGTCCTATTTTGCGAAATCTTGGGTATTCTACTTTTTGTCTTGCTGAAATGACCTGCAATGTTCTTCGGTTAAGTAATGTATAACTTCTGAATACCGACTGTGATTTAAGCAATCACAAGTGAAGAATTGAATAAAAGTGCTTTTACTTTTTGGTTCAAGGCTGCATACGATGCTCTTATGACCAATTTTCAATGTTACCCATAACGTCATAACAAAAAGGCTCCGCAGCAAGGTGTTAGGGGTTACTTCGACGAGGACAGCTCCTCTAGGGAGAGTACTCCAGGACTCTGACAGAGCTTTGATACTTTCTTCTTTTAATTACTGGCGGCAAGACAAACGCCTACAGCTCAGCTTCTTACAACAGCTAATCACACTCTACTAACCATCCAACTATACAACTTATATAAGCATAACGCAGGTACGTTTAGGCTTGCTCATCATGAGAGTTACGAAAGCTATTCGGAATGACTTCTAACGAATTTCCCGTTGTTAACAAAAGTGGAATAAACAATCCTACAAGAAAACCAATGAAAGCTCAACAGCTAAATCCACGAGGCTAAACCTTAAACCAAAACAGGAACTCTGATGTAGGTAATAAGCAAGGTCAGCAATGGTCCCAAAACGTACCCACTTAAAAACTGACAATCAAACTCAATTAAACCCCAAGCTTGATGACACTTCTGTCGACATACCCATTAAAAAGGCAATAACACTCAAAAACCTGTTAACGCATATATTGGTTAACCTTGATTCTCAAACCCAAACATAACGAAACTTAAATCACGAGAAGAACAAAAAAGAACAAACAGAACTGTCATCAAAAATCCTTATGATAATAATGTCAAATATAACCACAAGACTACTTCCTAACATGCCTCCCTTCTCAGAAAAAGCATCGTCCCCGATGCTCAGGAGAACGACAAATAGAAAACACCAAAATAAACATTAAAAATGAAGCTAAAAATTGAGTATTGTCTCAAAAATCGCTAAACATTTATAAACTTATGTTATGAAAAATAAAGTTGACCCCTAATTAACAAACAGGCGACCTTCAGATTCAGGAAATAATCCATAAATCGCCATTAGCTGATACCATTTTATCTGAGAACTTTGAAAAGAAAATATCTGCCACCAAGATGAATCAGCGGATGTATGTGGTCACAGTCTGGAGCGGGTTGATGATTCCTCGGGAATGAAAGTTTCAGATCTGGATTCCAAGCAAAACCCAACCATTGCAAGCTAGAAACCGACTTTAATACATTCTTAGGACAAAGAAAACCTACTTCACTACCAAAACACCTATCTAACGCTTCAAAAGAGACTACCTGTTTAGATCTAGCGCAAGAAATTAAAGCAAGGTTTGTATGTTGAACAGGACCTGTGAAACGCTTTCCCGAAATATTAAACTTAAGCGACGTCAAACGCTCTACAACACATAAGTCATTTTGATCTCCGATCACAGGTGCCAACAATAAAATATCAACAGTCAGGTTACGACCGTCATGCTCAACATCAACCACAGGACTTGCTAGAATAGACAAACCTTCCTCAAAAGCTGATACGGTCAATTTCAAGGAAGGATCAACAACGAGTTTTGCCGATAAATGCGAAGCAACAAACTTAGGTAAATCTGAGTAACCTATCAACGTTTTGCCATTTAAGTGGGAAACCAGACTTAAAGTACCCTGAATTTCAAAAAGTCTAAGGAAAGCAACAAAAGCACGACTCAGACCAGCAGTATACTTGGAAAGAAACTCCATAGTTAAACCCTCGTGACACCTAACCGTATTAGCAAATCTTTTAAGTTGTGTCTGCCAAACAGAAAAGGTATCGTCAACAATTTTCAAATCTTTAGCCAAAACGTTCAACTTACTGCCTATCTGATCAGTAATTTTGAACAAATACACAACTTTCCCATTAATTATACGCATCATGCTCTGTGAAATAGACATAGCGCGGCTCAGAGTTTTTAAGGCGGCCTTCAAGTTTTTTACATGGTTCTCCTCACATTTATGACCATTTGCAGTGTAAATTGCCCGAAAAAGACCTAGACCCCCTGCGTGGCACATCCAGTTTGAACGACGAACACGCCTGTTTTCTAGCAACCATTGTCTTTCGTCCATAGAAATGCCATGGCAAAACTGTAAAGTCCAAGTTTTACACTCGGAAATAGAACTTTTATATGCTCTTGGACATGACATTCTCGAGACTTGACCAACCATGAACTGAAAATACCTCGTTAAATAGGTATCACACTCAACTAAAGTTGAAAAGCCTGGCAAAGAAAGAAGCCTACGAAATAACTTTTTGAAACCTGCGAATTGTTAGCAAAACCTGGTCGTAAAACTTTCCCATAGGAGGAGAACAAGACCGGTTATTCATAGCAAAACTCCTACCGAACTCAATAAAATTATACACTGTGTGAACATTCAAAAGTTTAGTATCTTCATAAAAAGTAAGCGGCTTAGGCGAATGACTGATCAATAAGGAGCCCGGATAAAACGTGACTTTCTGAGTGAGCGAATCAAATTTTTGTGCGTATACTACATGAATTTGAACGGAAACCAAACTAAACACTGCAAGGAAAAGCAATGACTGAGCTTTAGTGATGGAATCCATGAAATGAAGAAAAAAAAAACGATCTTGATTCCTAAGAAAGAAAGAAACACACAAATAACAGGTAAACGACATAAACACAATGAACTATTTCCGTGATCTACGAAAAACGTCAATAAGGCGTTTATCTAAAATGTTTTCTTCTGGTTCCCAAGTTGACTCACTCATCGGAAAATCAAACCATTTCACAAGATACTGCATTTTCCCTTTAATTCTACGCGATTTTAGAATCTTCTCAGCACGAAACACAGTCTCATCATCTATTACTATGTCATCAGGGTGTGACTGTGACTGTTCCAACACGTTTTCATCTTCTGATAACAAAGAATTCTCTCTAGAGTTAGAAACGCGCAAATGTTCATTAGCACTAGCATTTTCAACAACAGGAACTTCTGGTTCAAAGCAATCCTTTGGCAAATCTGACTCGTCAAAATAAGGTTCGATGGGATCATAACCGAGTGGAGGGTCAATTGGACGCAAATTTGGATCGACAAATGGTTTCATTCGGTTAGCGTGAACCGCAAAAGTAACCTTCTTATTGGTGTCTGTACGTAACCGAAAATGCACAGGAGAGGACTTCTCGACAATCCTGTATGGCCCTAACCAATTATGTAAGAGCTTCTTGGACAAACCCTTTTTAGACCCAGGGGTATAAACCCAAGCACGCTGACCAACTTCAAAAACAGGTTCCCTAACATTTCGATCATAATAATCTTTCATTTTCTGCTGAGACCGCTGCAAATTCTCTCTTGTTAAATTTTGCGCCATTTCTAACTTTTCAACAACACGCTTACGATACTCTAAAACTGTGGAAGACATATTATCGGAATCCAGACGCAAATACTTAACATCAGTAGGCAAACGGGGTTCGCGCCCATACAAAACATAAAAAGGGGAATCGCCGATTACTTCTAAAACGGAAGTCCTATGAGCAAATAAAACAAGTGGAATAAAATCATCCCAGTCTTTCTGATTTTTGGCGACATACATCGAGAGAAACTGACATAAGGTAGAATTAAACCTTTCAACTAGACCATCGGTCTGAGGGTGGTAACTAGAAGTAAAGACCTTGTGAATCTGAAATATTTTGCAAACTTCAGCTACAATTTTGGACAAAAAGTTTGCCCTCTATCAGAAAGTAATACCCTTGGGGCACCATGCCGAGAAATGATCTCATCAACTAAAAGACGAGCGATCACTGTTGCCTCAACACTCGGAACTGGAAAAGCCTCACACCAAGGAGTGAGGTAATCACTGAACACCACAATGTACCTATTGCCCTTATTTGACGGTGGGAGGGGTCCCAAAACATCCACAGCTACTCTATCGAATGCACCCTCAACTGGAATTGGAAGCAAAGGGGCCTTCTTCGAATTTCTTCGAATTTCTAGGCGACTTTCTCATAGAACACTCAGTACACGACTTACACCAATGCTCAACATTCTTATACATCCCTTTCCACCAATATCTCTGCTTGATTTTATCAAACGTTTTATGTACACCAAAATGCGCACCGGAAACATGATCATGGACGTTGGACAATATTTCAAACCTCAACGACGCTGGCACAGCAAGCTGAGAAAATGAGTCATAAGAAGTACTCCTACGCTCAGAGTCTAAATGGTAAAGTAAAGCATCATGACCAACATAAAAAGCATTACTGGTGAGCAAAACCTTACGCGCGGCATGATCATCAAATGGTAACACATTGCTTTCAAGAAAATCAATAATCTCACTCAACTCGACATCACGCCTCTGCATTTCTCGAGTCTTTGAAACCTGTGGATCCTCCCTCTAGAGAGAATTGAACTCAGATGTTACATACGGACGCCTAGACAAACTGTCGGCGTTACCGTGAACCTTACCAGGGCGATGAACTATCTCAAAGTCATATTATTGAAGAAGTAAAGCCCATCTAGCAGGACGACCTGACGCATCCTTAACATTCATTAGCCAACGCAAAGAGCTGTGATCTGTGACAACTGTAAATCTACGACGGTGGAGATAGGGTTGAAACTTTTTAATCCCCTCTATCAAAGCAAGTGCTTCTCTTTCAGCCGTACTGTAATTTTTCTCTGCTTGATTCAAACCACGCCCATTATACGCGATCACTACTTCCTTTCCATTTTGAACTTGACCCAAAGTAAAACCAATTCCCGTAGAACTTGCATCAACGAACAACAGAAAGGGCTCGCAGAAATTGGGATATGCCAAATTAGGGGCAGAAAGTAAAGCACGCTTCAACTTATCAAAAGCGACTGCACATTGTTCTGACCACTTGAAAGAAACGCCCTTTCTAGTCAACGCATTCAAAGGGGCAGCAATATGAGAAAAACCCTTAACAAAACGCCTATAATAGTTAGCAAGACCCAAAAAATTCCTAAGTTCTTTCAAATAAGAGGGCGTAGGGAATTCCTGTGCAACACAGACTTTGTTAGGATTGGGGCTAATACCATCCGGAGTCACAACATGGCCTAGATATTCAACCTTTTGCTTAACGAAATTGCACTTCTTTGGGTTAAGCTTGACATTAGGCTCACGAAGCCTTCGAAAGACCTCCTCTAGGTGAGACAAATGCTCTTCAACAGACTTAGAAAATATGATTATATCATCTATATAAATAAAAGCAAAACGATACTCTAATCCTCTTAAGATATGCCCCATAAGTCTCTGAAAACTAGCTCCCGAATTACTTAATCCGAAAGGCATGGTGAGAAAATCATAAAGACCATTATGAGTGGCGAAAGCTGTTTTTTCCCTTGAGCCAGAATGCATTCGAACTTGCCAAAAACCACTTTTTAAATCCAGACAAGAAAAGAGACTCGTGCCTGCTAAAGAATCCATCGCATCTGCCACCAAAGGCATCGGAAAGCTATCTAGTTTAGTGACCTTATTAAGCTTTCGAAAATCGACACAAAATCTGTACGATCCATCCTTCTTTTTAACCAAAACTACTGGAGAGCTCCAGGGAGAAACAGACTCTTGAATAATTCCATTCTTAAGCATTTCGTCCACTTGACGGTCAATCTCTTTCTTAACATCAGGAGAAGCTCTGTATGGCCTTTGCTTAATCGGCATAACATCACCAGTATCTATGAAATGCTGAACAAGGGAAGTTCTACCCAATTGATCCCCAGGAAAAGCAAAATCATCACGATACTCCTTGAACAAATTCCGAAACTTAATTCTATCACCATCAGACAAAACACTATCAGACAAATCAGGCAATTCAGAATAATCACTCTGTTCGAACTGGTCACTGCATGAATCAGGCAAAGACGGATTCCCTATCGGATCCGAAGTCACAATGTTTTGATCTACCTCCTCAAAATTAGCCAACCGAGTCCTACGGTAAATCTTCACAGGCTGAAAGGATGGGTTTACTATTCTTACGGGAACTGTTCCATCATCTGCAACACTGACAAGCTCTGAAGCTCCAAATACAGAATACCTGTGACAAAGATTAGTCCTCGGGGCTAACATACCATTAATACTCACCACACTTGCTGGCAAATCCTCTAACCTACCTGGCACCAGAATTTCAGACTGAGGTGGAATGACGAATGTGCGTGAGACATGCACCGAAGAAATAAACGTTTCTTGAGAATTAACAACATCATCATCTAACTGAACATCCTTAATAGGCAAAGGATTAGACTCAGGGAAAAAACTCAGCGTTCCATTTTCAAAATCAATTGTGAAACAAAATTTTTGTAGAAAATCTCTACCAAGAATTACGTCACAAGTCAAATCCTCAATCACGTGCGCCTCGAAAGGAAAAGCATGAAAATCAATAACAAACTCCACCAACAACTTCCCAATTGTAGTCAGTTGACACCCATTTACTGAGGTCACACATTCTGAACTACACTTGTCCAGACTCGGATAAGCGTGACTCAAACACTCACGCCACACTTTTGCGCTGACTGCCGTGACAGCAGCCCCAGAATCTATCAAACAATAAAAATTGTGACCCGTTATATTAATAGGCAAAGTAGAATTTTCAGCCACGAAAGGAACACAAATACCATTAACCGTATCTAATTTTAGTTTATCCCCAACACTTGGAGAATTAATCAACAAAGCGCCCGCAGGCGAACCAACCTCACTTCGGGTCAGCGTTTTTGTTTCACTGCCAAGAGTAACCAAATCATCGACTTCCGAAGACCTAAATGATCCTCTTTTAATATTCACTGCATTACCACTTGAATACACGTCGCTATCACTTATCTTATTGATCAAAACATCTTCAGAGACAACATCTTTAACCGTAACATCACCAACATCTAACGGATCAAAATCGATAACATCGACCTTCTCAAAAGTTAATTTTCCTTCTTTGGGAACAACGTATTTAAAATTTTGGGGCTTTTCTTGTCTCAATTCCCCACAAAAATATTCGGGACACTCCTTTCCAACAGAGGAAACAGAAGAAACTGGCGAATTCGCGCCGAAAGAAAAACACTCACTTTTGTTACGAAATCTGGACGGTCGATTAAGAACATCATTGATACTTGTGACAATTCCTTCAAACAACTCTAGTAACTTAATAGTGATAGCAAAAATAATTGTTAAGATAATCACAACATTACTTTCAACACACGTGCCTTGCTTAGAAAAACTATTTTGACTTAACCGCGAAAATTGACAAACATCCGAAGATTCAAAAGATTGTTTTGACGAAGCTTGATCACTATCTTTACCAACAACATTTTCATCAAATTCTTTTTCCGCGATAACAGAAACCCCATCAGGAAGCACTTTGCTGAAAGCAGATTTATCAGTTTTGCATGCCCCCGACGATAAATTTAAACTCTTTTTTTCAACTTTTGAAGCCCCCATCACGGGTTCATTTTGCAACGAGACAGGGGCGCGTTTTAGTTTCCCTGCTGATTAGATTGCCAACTAGAACCTACTTGACTTTTAGGCTGAAAATAACTCTGTCTATTACCCACACGGCGAGGAACTCGAGGGTCAGGCCTCGAACGACAATAATAATAAGTGTGTCCTTTCTTTCCACAATTATAACAAATAGCGTCTCCAAAACGAGAACGCAAACCTCTTGACTGAAAAGGCTGTTTATAGCGTTGATTAAAACTATTAGGTCTAGTACTAGCAGTTCCCATTAAATCTCGAAACTCGTCCCTAACAATTTGTTTCATTTCAGACTTACTCACAAAGGGCTCTCTTTGATTAATGACACTAACTGCGGGTGACTTATCCTTGGAACCGATTGCCTTTGAAAGCTCCTCTAATATCTGCGCAGACACTTCCTTAGGACTAAATTCCTCTTTTTTACCGGAAGTAGCCAACACCGACTCTTTCAATCTCACATAATTTTCGGCCACCTCCAAACTCTCAGGCTGCTGCAAAACTACATACTCACGCATTTCGGGGAGAAGCCCCTGAACAAAATAATGCGTCCATTCAGTTCTAGGCAAGTTTATTCTAGCACAGTGAGTACGGAGACTATAAGAGTAGTCAGCAACAGATTCTTTTTCTAACTGCCGACTCTGGCCTAGTGCCTGCCTTACACGCCACTCGCTGGCTCCGGACCCAAAATGAGTAACTAACTCCTCGGATAATTCATCAAAAGACATTTCATCTGGTGTAGGCAACGTGTTAAACCACACGCTGGCATGACCCTTTAAATAGAGTGGAAGACCCAAGGACAAATTAACGTCGTCCCAACCATTCCAACGACCAGATCTTTTATAATTCCTAATAAATTTATGAACATCCTCGCACTCATCACCCCTAAAAACAGGGAAAGTAACTGACGACTTAACACTGACGTTTCTACTTTGTGAGTTAATCGACGCCTGCATTCGCTCAACTGCCTGACACAACTGATTAGCCTGATTTTCCATCTCGGCGTAGGCTGGGGCAAGAGACAAATCACCTGACTCCAAAGCACTAAACTCACTATCTGAAGATGAATCACTATTACGCTCAATTGAATCAACACTTACATTATCGCGACTAGCATTAATTTCACTCGGCACTATGTCTTCGTAAATTACCTCCTCTTGCGAATTTACGCCCTGATTGCTAGAGCACCAAGATATAGAGGTATCTTCACTAGGAGTTGGAATTGCACTTAACACTTGATCTTGGGCCTCGGCCCTATTAGACCTAACTGACCTTAAAAACGAGTGAAACAATGATTCTCTAGACTGAGGAACGGGTGGAGGAGGGGCAGGCCACTCATTAGAACTCGGAGACAAACCCAAATTTTCCTGGCTAGAAGCCCGTTCAGCCAGGGAACGCGCTCTACGCCTAGTAATCAGGATTAAGCCAAGTCTCCCAACGCTGAAGAACAAAACTTGTACTTATTCAAAAACATGGGGAAAGCAAAATGCCACCAAAACACTAACAGAAAACCCGACATTGAAATTGACCCATTGCAGCGACAAGAAACACTAACGAAAACAGAGTTTAACGGAAGACTAAATTTACAAAGAAAAACGACGTATTACAAATGCCAAAAAGAACTAAACTAGCTTGCAACAGAAAGGCATGCTAAAAAAAAAAAACAAACAATGTTCCACTCACAATCGACTTCTTTAAGCGGATTCTCCACCAAATATGTTAGGGGTTACTTCGACGGGGACAGCTCCTCTAGGGAGAGTACTCCAGGACTCTGACAGAGCTTTGATACTTTCTTCCTTTAATTACTGGCGGCAAGACAAAAGTCCTCAGCTCAGCTTCTTACAACAGCTAATCACCCTCTACTAACCATCCAACTATACAACTTATATAAGCATAAGGCAGGTACGTTTAGGCTTGCTCATCATGAGAGTTACGAAAGCTATTCCGAATGACTTCTAACGAATTTCCCGTTGTAAACAAAAGTGGAATAAACAATCCTACAAGAAAACCAATGAAAGCTCGACAGCTAAATCCACGAGGCTAAACCTTAAACCAAAACAGGAACTCTGATGTAGGTAATAATCAAGGTCAGCAATGGTCCCAAAACGTACCCACTTAAAAACTGACAATCAAACTCAATTAAACCCCAAGCTTGATGACACTTCTGTCGACAAACCCATTAAAAAGGTAATAACACTCAAAAACCTGTTAACGCATATATTGGTTAACCTTGATTCTCAAACCCAAACATAACGAAACTTAAATCACGGGAAGAACAAAGAACAAACAGAACTGTCATCAAAAATCCTTATGATAATAATGTCAAAAATAACCACAAGACTACTTCATAACACAGGCAAAGAGTGTACCTTCAAGTTTACAGAAGGGATATATTTTTTCTTGTTTTCCGTAGGGGAGAACTCCAATTTCTCCACCCAATTTCTCCGTCAACTAACCTCCTTGAGTGCAGACGCCAATCAAATTGATTATGTTCTTGTGTTTTCCAATGGTCTTCATTAGCTCCAACTCTGATACAAGATATGTGTGTTCCAGTTCTGTGGCATCCTCTGAAATGCAGGAGTTGACATTACAGTCCTATTGTTAAATATTTAAGTATTATATGACCTCCACCACGCTAGTTTTCTTTCGTTTGAAAACGAAGCCTTTTTGGGCGTTCTGGGCTTGTGCTCATACTACAAAAAAATGGAGGTTTTAGAAGACCTCCATTAAGTTTCTAAACACTTGTTTAACAAGTCAAAAAAGGCGGGAAAAGACGGACGTAGCACTGTTACTTGGAGTAGGCGCGCTTATTGATACAAATATCTGAGAATAACCTGGCGACTGCGAAGATTCATTGCCATGCAGGAAGGCGTTTTCGATATTTGAGTGTGGACTACCAGAAACAACTCCAAAACGATGGTTTCGATGTGGGGTTTTCGAGGCGGACGCTTTCGAACACGTTAGTATAAAAGTGCCTAAAAACCACGAGTACCGGCCTGTTTTTGTCTCATATTTTTCTTGTCTTGTTGTTGTTCTTTTGTTTCACTTAGGCAAGGTATCAAAGTTTAAGTCGCTATTTTGCAGTGGGGCATACATTTTGAAAACATTCCACTTGCTCAATCCATCTCTCAATTCATTAGCAAGAGATGGAATACTTCGTTCTTGGAAATAGACGGGAGGATCACGGTAGTTGTATCGGAAGGAATTGGAGAATCCTTTTCCAAACTATAGCGAGATCACAGTAGGAGAATTAGCGGCTACGAAATTTTTAAGGGAAGTGCTTACTTCGGGTGTGTATACAAAACCTGCGCTAGGCCACTGATAAGCCTGTGCCATGTCTTACCCTGTGGCCTTCCGCGGCTATGGCTTGTCGCGCTGCTTCAAACTTTTTTCGCGTTTATTTCATCTCGTTCAATTCGTCAAATGATGACAGTTTTTTTTTCTTGAGTTGATTTCTAGAAGACTGTATCAAAGTAAATAAGGTAGCTTTAAATAGCATCTGTTCTTTTGTTTTCGTGGTCTGGCGGTATGACCCTATTTGCCTCTGGTCCTGGGTTTGAGTCTTAATATTTTTGCTTTTCTTCTCTTTCTTTCAACTTTTTTTACTTTTTTATTATTTTCCTTTTCCTGTTCTCTTTCCCGTCTTGACTTTTTTCCATTGCGGCAAAAAATACAAAAGTTAATGATTGCAATGGCAAAGCTAGGTTTTATAAACAACACCTAAATACAAAACTCACCTTTTAGCATTTTGACCGCGACATGGCATCTGAAAGGCATGTTGGGAATTCCAAACACCTCCGCCTTCATGACCTTTCCAAACGCGCCTTCCCCGAGAACTTCCTGCAGGTTGATAAGTTCTCTGCCGATCTCCCAGTTCTCGCCCACTGTTATGTCTACTTCGGAAACCTTAGTGAGGCTACGACTTTCCTGACGCATCATTGGAACAGTTAACTCGCAGGATGGTGAGGAGCCAACAACGGACGGGTCCGGTGCAATGTATTCCACAGCCATTTCGCTTTGTTTGGGACTGCAATCAAGACCATATTTAGCTCCTTTTCCTAACTTCTTTTTTCGCTGGTGACAATAAATGCCAATTCCAAAAAATACTGCAAAAACGACGCAACCAAAAACACCCGCTCCAACAAATATTTTCTGCTTTGATGATGATGGTCTTGGTGAATCTGGATCGGCAACAGAACGTTGGTTACCTTTTGAAGTTGGAAAATGGGTAGTGTTTGCTTCGGGTGTCAACGTAGCTGATTCTGAAATCAAAAATATACTTGTCAGTGGAGCGAAGAACATGGGATCCAGAAAGTCAGAAACCACTCTCGAAACCTAGCGCTATGAGGAGCTCAGAAGTCAACCTTCAATCCACTGCAAGATGGATGTACAACATTGCAGGGTGTTCCGATTGAAAATTGCATTTTGTATAAGCATTTAATACTTCGTTAGGCAAATATTTAAACTGATTCTGTTAATGGCTTTGATTGCCAACCTTGACGCAACGTGGTCGTTTGTTTTTGTTTGTCATCACTTTTGTCAGGCTTTCTCGTAAACAAGTTTAGTTAGTTTTAATATGTATTAAAGCCGCCGTGAAGATGCAAGGAACCGTTCTGAGCCTGAGTCAATCGAGGGGATGACATTTTTTTTTCAAACGGATAGCGAGAGCCGTTCGAACGGATGACAATTTTTTTAGAACGGATAGCCTGAGCCGTTCGAACCAAAACCAAATCTTTGGAAAAACCTTTCACAACTATCGGTAATTTCGTGTAACACGAAATTCACCAAATTTGTGTTCGCAGCGCGCAATGCATCAAGGTTGGTGATGGGCCTATAAGAAATTTATCTAAATACCCGTTTAAAGCAATTTCAAACTAAAATTTGAAGAAATTATAACTTTTTCAAATTAATAATAATAATAATAATAATAATAATAATGATTTATTAACGGATCCACTGAGTGGCTCTTCCCTGTTAAATTACATTAATTACAATTACAGAATAAATGAAATTAAGTTATTTACAAATTAATTACAGAAATCAATTACAGTAGAACTGACTAATCGCTCTGTACTCGCTCTGTATTTTGGACCAAATATGCACGCGAGCGTTCCTTTTCCCGCAACATTTTTCTCCATCCTATTTGTAGATTTCCTTTTTCGTATTTATTGTATCTATTATTCTTTCATTTTCTCTGCTCTTTCACGCAAAAAAAAACCGAAACTGTTTGTGCTAGAGCTCAGACAGATTTTTTACGGCCACCGGGCCATTCAGTCAAAGAAACTGCCAAATGATGATAATTCGTCCATCAGCTAGGGGGATTGTATGGCTCACTTAAAGGGAACAAACAAAACATGTATAATCTAAATCGTTGAGTAAAAAGCATCACAAAAATGCATGATAGCAAGGATAGAACGGTAGCTTTTCTCTTGTAAATCGAATTTTAAATTTGCCACTTAAACCCTCATTTTGGTCGCCATCTTGGATTTACAAATAATTCTTTGATTCCCTCTTAATTTAAACACACGATTTCTTTTAAAGAAGATTTCAAATACCAGGTATTTGAGATATTAATTTAGCATTGTTATTCAAGATATGATGACGTCATATATGACGTCACAGTGACCGCCATTTTGCTTTTAAAATTAGCCTATTCAACTGATATCTCAATCATCTGAATAAGAAAATTGCTATTAACATTAATTAAACGTTGGAAGTTCTTCTTTTTTACATTACAAACCTATTTTGTGCTGAAATGTGCAAATTTGACCTTTTGATGAGGAATAAGGCCAATTTGAAACAAATTGGTAACTTTCTTTAACCCCTTGGTGACGGCTGGTAAGTAGGGAAAAAACCGCATTTTTCACCAATTCCTCTTCTTTGGACTGGTTTTCGACTAATCAGCATAGCTAAAAGAATAGCTAAAAATGAATTTTGCATCAAACAAAGGCATATTTTCCGTCTAATCGCGTAATTAAACAGCTTTTTTGTTTTTCACCCATGCGCACAAGCCAAAATTTTTTACTTTCTATTTGCGAATCTATTTCGATCTTCCTCTATCGCTCTCTTGTTTTCTTTGCCTTTCTTCTATATTAGCAGTTTTTTGCCCACTTTATCGTCTTTCTTTATAGAAGTGGCTAGCCAACTTTTAAGGAAAGGAAAAAATTTAATCTTCAAAGAGTAGCAGATAAACCGGCACATTGGCAGTGGATTTTTCCTTAAAATGTTACCTTTTCTGTGAGTGTAACGTTGTTAGGATTAGTCAAAATATCCAAAACGAGATATCGCTGGAAAATTTTTGTGACGTTGTTGCTAACAAAATTTATTAACTTATATAAACTGAAAGCTAACTGGGTCTAGGAAGGAAAACATGCCTGATCAGGCATTGTTCCATCTGGAGTGATAACGACCAAAGCAGTCGTCGAATGTTTAAGGCCATCTAAATCACAATGCTAGAAGAACATGTTTAGAGCTACTGTAGCTTCGTTTTCTACGGCAGGTAAATCATACCTCTACTTAGAGGAAATAAGGAACAAATAAGAGCTGTGCCGCCGAGACCTTCAAACCTCGACACTGTTTAAGATTCTGACATTAATTTGTTTTTTTGTTTTGTTTTACATAAAGAATCAAACAGTTTTTCAAACTAACATCACGGAAATAGAAACTGTGGAAAAAAACTATTGGTATTGCAAATGTAAACTGCTCATCGCTAGCCTTCACAGTCTTTTTAAGGCTACCAGCCCAAAAGGACACTGCTCACGACGCTTTTAAGCGAATTTACTATTAAAATAGAATTTTACTATTAAAACAATAAAATAAATAATTAGATTTTTACTATTAAAATAATACAATTCTACACCCTGGTTAATACTCAACACCTTGCGTTCAGCAGCACATACCTGACCCGTATAAGCCAAATAAGGGAGTGCCTCCGCCCCCCCTCCCCCCCCGCGAAACGTGCTCCACCCTTCAGTCTAGAGCTTGTTTTAGATCAAAAGCACTATGTTCCCATAACTGACATCATTCGCATAACACCATTCTTCACTGCTGAAATTCGCGTTTGGAAACTTAACCTAAACATAGATTCACGTGTACTGCATTTTCTGCCCTAACATCATAAGCTGAAGAAAGGTGAACACACATGACTTGCAACTACTCTGCGGTAACGTGCCAACGACGGGAGCAGAACGATGGTTCTTCTTCACATTGAGGCTTGAGAATTGGTCCTGTAAGTCCAAAAGATGACTCGCATGGCGGCAGATTGTCCAGCTTGACCTTTCAGCCTTAAGCTGGGGATGAATCTCTTAGCGGCGCACTATGCCACTTCTTTCCGTACAGTTCACACACGGGTGCTTCGCCATAACTCGGACGTACCCTCCATTGGTTGAAGAGGCTGGACTGCTATCCACTTCCTTTTACCAAAGAAGGCAGAGATGTTATCACAGCCTGTGATCAAGTTTACACCTATAAGGGGAACCTCATGAAGCAGTGGTTAACATCGCCTGGGTCGAGTTGCATATAATGTTCGCGCCTCTTCCCTTTTTCATGTAGCACCTTTTCAAAGTCAAGTTTTTTTCTATAAGCAAGCATTAGGACAAAGACATCAGTCTCAGTGTCAGTGTATTAGAGTGCATCGTTATTGTGGCCTCCGCTTGCCGGAACTGTCCCAGAAGTGCCATCCAAGCACAAGAGGAAGTACTAGATCCTTGTTGCGAACCTTATGCACAGCCTTCACCTTCGTTGGCTTTCTACACTGGATCAAAGAAAGCGGCTCATTACAAAGTCATTCGCTGGCTGCTTTCTTTTGCCGTGGAGGGCAGTCAGTCATTACTCACTTCTGTGTGGACACGCTTAGCGAGTTGCAAATCTCTCTCGTTGGTGAACTTATTTCGGCCATTACATTGATTTTGATTTTTGCGGGGAATTCACATTCAGCTGAAACCTCTGAAACTGACTCCGGTCATGGACGCGTGACTGGATAAGGTACTGCACTAAGAAATTGTTTTCAAGAAGAGCCTTGACTGTATTCATTACAATACACTGGCAATGCAAAAATATAATTCATTTACTTACTCTTTTCTGAAACAATTTTCTAAACCTTACATTTGTTCTAGTTATTAAACAAATGGCGAACTGCCAGTCTTACTGAGAGACCAATAATGGTTTTCCCGGAAATGGTGAAGGAAAAATAATGGTATTTTGAACAGGCAAAGTTCATGATTGACAGCGAGTGTATTCCCACGGCTTCCAAAAGCGGTTGATATTCTCATACGAAAAGGTCAAAACATAAGCCTAAGTTAAGCTTAACTTGTTCGAGAAATCTGTCGAATATTAAGCTTAAAACTTAGTCATGAAAAAAACTTGCAACGATAATCGAATGTTTTGACGGTAAACGACGCATAGAAGAATTATTTAAGTTTACATGATTTTTTGACAGGTTCGTCGCAAACGGCTCGGGTAAAAGTGATTTGGAGCAGTAGCGCAGCTGACAATTACTTTGAACGGGACTACGATGGCTGGAATCCCCGTTTTTCACATACCTTTCAGATTTTGGGATTCTTGCTGATGTCAGCATTTTTGATACCGGTTTGGACTGGTTATTTTTGCTAATTAATTGGACAAAACGATAACTATTTATAGAGAAGGCTTCTTAATATAGTATATGAGTTCAAAGCAAGTGAGAAACGTTAATGAGCCTGAGGCTAAGCTAGTTAATGAGGAGGTCAAGATTAGGTTTAGGAGGCACCCTAGTTACAATTTATATTATGGGTCTAAATGTGGAAAATATATTCACGTCAAAAGAAAAGTTATTAATAATGGTCACCGTGATCGAAATGGTTATTTGTATTGTATGCTTAGAGCCGAGGGAGGGAAACCAAAAACATCATGTCCATAGATTCATTTGGGAGTGTTATAATGGATTGATAACGGATGGATTAATAATCGATCACATCAATGATATTCGCGATGATAACCGGCTTTGTAATTTACAATTAATGACACAGCAAGAGAATTGTAAAACATCAGCAAAGAATAGAGACTATATAGTTTTGCTAAGAATAATCATCAAAATAAGAGAGCGGTGAAAGCGATCAATTTAGCAACAAATAAAGAACATTATTTTCCAATTTTTTATTCTGTTCAGAAAAATTTGGGTATAAATTGTGGAATAGTAAAAATGGTTTGTGAAGGATTGAATTGTTGTAAATCAGGAAGATCCAAGTTTGATGACTACTGGTACAGATTCGAATATTTGAACTGAACCGTTACACATTAAAGAAATAAAGATTATAGTATATTATAGAAAAATAATTATATAACACATATATATAAGAAGTAATATTGGGGCTTTCGGGGTGGGAATCCTCAAACGCCCTATGGGGAAATATCAGAATAAAAGCAGCAGGAGCAGCTATAAGCTCACTAAGCCACATGGTAGTTTGTCTACTAAGCCACATGGTAGTTTGTCTACTAAGCCAAAATCATTAGTACAACTGGCCGCCGAAAAAATGGAACAATCAATAAAGCGACCGGCCAAACAGCCAAGCAGAATGCCTTCTCTTACACGATTAGCAGCACGAGCATTAGTTAAGGACAAAATCAAGTACTTTGAGGAACTGTCCGATAAACAAGTTCCTACTATTAGATTAGATAAAATCCCTGTTTCGCAGCAAGATATGAGAAATGAGGAATTGAAGCGTACTAGAGTATCAAAATATAAAAAACATTCATCAATTCCAAATCTGTTTCACGAAAGACTAGAACAGATGCCTGGTAAACGAGAGCGAGCACAAATTACAATAAACGCTGTTATTGAACATACAATTGGCAATAGAACCGAGTTCATTGATAAGACATATGGTCCGTTTAAAATGGAAGTTCCAAAATTAAGTAAACCTGATATGTACAAATTCTTAATGTATACGCTACTCCAAAATAACTTCACAGTCTTATCAACGGAAACTATAGCTGAAATTGGAGCTACTATAACTACACACAATGAGCAGTTCTTCAAAGATCACAAAGTTGGTGCGCTAAAATTAAACACATTTTTCTTAGACAAGCAGTTTCTTCAGATTATACAACGAGGTGAAAATACCTGTATGGTTGATTTTGTTTGGTACAACTGTAGGAATAAGAAGGGATTCCAGAAATATACGTATCAAAAATTAAGTGACGAATTGGAAGTTTATGCATCAGCTAGTTTTCCAAGAACGTCAACACAAGAGCTAGTTGATTGGGCTAAAGCATGTCATCCAAATGTATCAATCCACGCTTACGACAGTACATGGCGCAAATTTATGAAACATATTGCAAGTACAAATCATAAGGATATAAGTTTAGTATTCTATATCAAAGACCATCATTTATACCCCATTCAAGATAACCGCCTCAAACATATTGCTACACAAGCTAACCAAGGCGGCGCCGATAATTTATGGAAGTATATGACAGACATGAAATGGTCCAATAAATCGAGTAATTATATTATGTACGAAGAACTGGAAAATAATGAGCTCACTGATGAGGGTAAACCAACATTGATGACAATCGAGAATCATGTAATAGTCTTGTCACTGGACTCAAAAATAGAGCCCATTATTGAAGCATATATGATTAGGACTAATTATTTTGTCGAGTATTTACATTACGATTATGATGGCAGATTAGACGTCTTTATGGATCACAAGAATAACATGTACATTCTAAATAACGAATATGAAAACCGTAAATCGATCTGTGAGCGATTATATAAAATATACAAATCTTATGACTTCGTATGGTGCAATCAGTCATACACCTCACTGGCAACCTCATTATTTAAACACATGAGAGGCTATCTTCCGGAATCACAATATGACACCAAAACACGGGAAGTATTAGATGATTTTTATCCTCGAGCACTACAATGGTGTTCAACTGACCCAGCACCCGATAATTTAGTGTAATTAGATATCTCAAAATGTTATCCTTCTATACTGATCGATAATGAATCACCAATACCATTATTTACCATCCACGATATTATCAAGCCCTTTGATGGGGTATTTAAGACTGGCGAATATTACATCGACGAATATGTCATCGAAAAACGACTAGGAAAAGGTATCAAAATTGAAGCCGGTTTTTATAGCAAACAATTAGTACAAACATTGATCGCAAAGTTTAAGATGCCTATCTCTAATGTCAAATGGTATATCCAAGCACGTAAAACATTAGCCCCGGATACATTCAAGAATTACATGTTAACGATATTCTCAATGTTCCCAGAACCCCAAGCAAAATTAATAGCAAACAGTTACATCGGTGAATTGGGCAGAAAATATAGTCGCAAAGACCATGGTTTTACATGTAACTCACTAGATACGGCACAGTGCATCTGGACATCTGCTCTTTTTGAATCGTGATGTTGTTATTGATAGTTATCAGAATCCAAACACTAAACAGGAATTATATCTAATCAGAGAGCGTCAAATTGAGCGCATATTTTCTGATAATACATCAATCAACCGCTTTGCTATCTCACAGTCCATATTAAAATGTTTGAACATGTTACATGACAATGCGAGTCACGATAATGATGGCAATGGAATCAGTCAAGTATTCGCAATCAATACAGACGGCATTTTTATGACTAATCCTAAAAACCAATACCCCAACAAGAAAGATGTCGAATTTACAACAGACAGTATCGGACAGATATTCCAAACTGATAGCCCAGCTGTATATTTCGAGAAACATTACAGGGAGAATTTTAATCCTGATAATTACTCTGATTATGTGGGAGACGGTGCTATTTATTATGGCGGTGCCGGATGTGGTAAAACATATCGATTATGCCAAAAGGCACTAGCAGCCGATGACCCCATAATCCTATCATTTACTAATAAGGCTATCCAGAATGTAAAATCGGCGCTGTGTAATGTGTACAATAATTATGAGTTAGCTAAGAAGTGTTACACATTTGATGTGTTCTTTTGTGATCATCACGGACGTGACATAACAGCACTAGAGGGCAAAACAATATTTGTGGACGAATACTCCATGACTCCTAATAAGTGGATGACGAAGCTCTATCAGGCATTTACTAAATACAGACTCAATATTTACATGTTTGGCGATACCAATCAATGCGACCCAGTTGAGCCATCTGATATGCTTTACGATTATTTTGAGCCAGTGGCTGTTTCTGAGATGTGTCCACGACGGGTTGAAATGAAGTATATAGAAGAATATGCTCGATACGACCCGCAAACAAGGGATCTTCTAACCAAGTTTCTCAAGTGTGGCATTTTCAAACACCAATTTCAACCACCACAAGATAGTTACTATAATATTTGCTATCTGAATAAAACAAGACGGCAAGTCACACAAGAATGCTGTAATAGATTCACTGAAAATAAAAAGTATGATGAGATCAATTTTAAATATCAAGGACATAGGGAGAAATATAAGGTAGCGGTTGGAATGCCAATGATAGTAACACAAAATATGCGCAATAAAGATATGTTTAATATGGAGCAGTACAATATTGAAAGCATTAACGAGAATGATGAAGGCAATCTTGAATTCACGCTAAATGGAACAGTATTCAGTCACAGTGAATTCCGCGAATCTTTTATCCCAGCATTTTGTGTTACAGTATACAAATATCAGGGAGGAACAATAAGCACTCCATATAATATTTATGATGTTGAGAGAATGGACAAGAAACAACTCTATACTGCGTTATCTAGAACAACGGAACTAAATCATGTCCATCTTGATACAACAAAATTGAACCCCAAATACAAAATCAGAATGCCACCGCTCTTCGTGACAGTGAATAGTTACTTCAATAATGACTACCATAATGGTCAAATTTATAAGATCACGTTCAAACACAATGACAAATTATATATCGGTAGCTCTATCAGAAATCTACAAGAACGGCTCAATGAACATGCGACTACAAAATCAAGTGCAATATTCAAGTACAAGGATGATGAACCAGTGATCACACCGATAATACGCGCTCCTTGTAAGGATCGTCAAGAATTAAACAGAGTGGAAGCCGAATACATAAGATATTATAGTGAAAAATATGGGGACCGTTTACTCAACAAACAATTAGTCCCGAAACAGACAGTCAAAATTGAATATAAACATCAAGCGCAAATTGAGACAGAAAATCAAATGCGAGAAAGACCAAATTATTAAATTTTATTGCGCCAGAAGTTTGGTGATAAAATCAAGATCAAAGATGATCCAATGAATAAGTTACTCTATTACGATGCCAAAGTTGATGGGAAACGTTATAGATCAGTTGCCAAATACAAAAAACAGACTAAAGAAGAAGCTCTGATTAAGATCACAAAAAAGCAACAACAATTGGTCGATGAATTGACAATCAACTTTAACTAATAAAAAATAACAAAACTGGTGGCCACCAGACCTTCTCAGGAGGACTCTCCCATTTTCCCATCCCCTACCTCCCCCATTCCCCATTCCCCACTCCCCTCAGTCTCTCCTGAGAAGGTTTTTAGTTATGTTCTCTAGGCTTGAGGCTAGACAAGCACTCCTATGCACCTCGCTCTGCCTATTAGGCATCCTCTTTCCAGAGCCCGACACTATCTTTGAGATTTTTCCCATATATTCCCATCCAAGTTAATGATGAAGCCGCGGGATTTTTACCTCATCATTAACAAGGGTATCCGGTCACCAGTATTAGCCGAAAGGCCCCGCGTTTTTCCAATCAGGTAATACTTTCACCAAGGTACACTCTGGTACTATTTCAAATTAGCCTTATATAGGAGTCCAATTCAATATTCTCATCATTGTGGGATGTAATTTGTGTCTCCTTGTTCTGCGCAGTCTCAGTGGGGCAAAACCATAAACTATTTTAAAAAATCTAAATATAGTATAGTAATGATGTGCAATAAAGAAGTTCATGAATTATTGATCCAAAAGGGTCAAGTTAATTGTATCTTTTGTAATGAACAGATTCAGGATCCCGGTAAGCCTAAGCGAGATTTTTGCTGCGATTCTATGAGACCGATCAAGGATAACTTTCTTGTGTGTAAGAATTGTGGGCAAGTCCATGACTATTTATCAGCAGACGAGTATATTGACTTTTATGAGAATAGATACAGAATAAAAAGAAAGTCCATCTATTATAGAAAATATCATATCATCAATACGCTAATGATATAGCGCAAAAAAATAATATTCAACTTGATTATTATGATAGAGAGAGCATTCTGAGAATATTCCAACTATTTGACCGTATTGAACTCCCAGATGTGGGCAGAAAACGGCTTATTAGTGTAAATTATATCATCAAACAACTATTTGACATCTTAGGGATAAAATACAAGTCTAATCCTCATACACGAATAAAAAATACACTAAAATATTACAATGAATGGTGGGGCAAAGTTTATGGTCACATTAAGGATGACGTCAATAGAATAATTTTAAGGAGGCATTATTGATCTGTTGGATGGGAGAGAAACTTTTTAGCGTACTGCTTTTCGAATCTTGTTACTAATGGAGCAAATTCCACGATCGTATCATCTAATATATTTAGTTCCTTTAGGAAATCGTTTTTGTCAAATGGCCCCCCTCGCAAAGCGGTACGGAGGTCAAGTAATATTTTCTGATAAGTTGAAAAAGCAAACTTTGACATTTCTATTTTTCGTTTATAGTTCTTTGTGTCAGAAAGTGTTTTGAGAACTAAACCAGCGCCTGATATGCTTCCTAGAATGGCCGGGTTGGCAGTCAAACCACCAGCAACAGCTCCAATCACTATCAGGCCAGATGATGACATGTTTAATAGGAGATTCAGTTTCTTAAAGTGTTTGAAGGCCTGTCGGCGACACCAGTATTTATAATGATAATATTTGTACAATTCTTTGATTTCCTGGATCTCTTGTTTTGTTTTGCTTTTATCGATATGATTGAAGCAGAATATGTTTTCTTTTTGACTCATTATATAATTAGTTTAGACAAATTACAGAACATAAGAACCATTCAATTTCTCCTGCACCATTATTCTATGAAATTCTAAAGAATCGAGGTCATGAAAGTTTGGAGTGTACATTACTCTATAGATCACTGCATCTTCTGAGAATATTCTGAATGTGTAGTTACTTTGAGATGTTAAAGTTGAACCTAGTGTTAATGTTGCACTGTGATTACTAATTGATGCTTTTGCTGTTATGTTAACCCCTGTACCTTTCTTAGTCAACCAAAACACAACACGTTTACCATTGAAACTGTTTAGTAATGTGATAGAAGTTTCATTAGTTGACCCATGACCATTAGTTTGCAGTTTTAATTTCTTTGTTGTTTTGTCATAAATCAAATGTGGTCTTTCATAAGTTTCATCACTCATCAATGTTTTAATAGTAAATGATCGGTTCAGCCACAGCTGCATAACAACACAAAGAGTAAAGCTCCTTTTAGTGAATAATTTCAAACTTAATGTGGTATTTTTTATTCTCACTACGCCCTCCCAAATATTGGCAATATCCATTCTAGGGAAATAAATATTGTGTAGGATGCCTAAAACCATGATACCTGATACTCCTATTATTATTTTATAGTTACTAGCATCGCTTAAATCATAAAATTCCTCAAATATTTCCCTGTAAACATTATTCTTTGTATGAGGGCTCAATTTGGTATCGAAATCTTTGACCATCTTCACAGTCGCCGCTGAATTATTCTTAGTGCGATCTGGCGCTATATTCAGTATCTTCTTTCTGTTCATATCCAGATCAACATTGTAAACAACTTCAGTCGGCTTAATATCAAAAGCTGTATGGTAATCATAAGTTTTGTTTGGATCTAAATCCATTGTTTCGCCAAGAATACCGTAAGCTATTAGGTAATATTTATTGAAATTAGTTGGATATGTGTTCAAGTCAATTCCCGACTGAGCCATAACATCCTGGATATGTAAGAAATAAGGAGTATATTCAGCTGTCTTACTGAATGTCACCAGGAGTTTATGATAATACATATATTCAACCTGATTGGAAGATGTTCTATACTCATGTGAGTACTTATTGACATGCCATCTTTTTACAGTTACTCCCTGGCTGGTAGTTGTATCAACAGTAATTACAGATTTGTGCCATAATTTATAGTCAGTAGTAAGGATTTCCAAACAAAGGGTATATTCTTTGTCCTTTTGAAGGTGATAGCATTGGATAGCTAACTGCCATTTATAACCACCCTCTGAATTCTTCTTAATGGATGCGAAAATCACCTTTTTATTGTATGTGTGGTAGTTGCCTGATGTTGCATTCAAATCACCAATGCTGTTTAGGGAAATACTGTCAGTTAGTAAATCAGTCCATTGTAAAAGACCATTTTTAGGGTCCATGAGATATGCAAATCTGTTAGTATGATCAGATGGCTTTATAAAATGTTTATTCAATGTTCTCAGATTAACCCCATCAGTAGCATCAGTCGGGTCTCCAAGGTTAATAATCTTGTTTTTGACCATATTGAATTTGTGGTAAACATACGGATTAGTAATTTGTACAAAAAATGCATTTCCAGTGCTTCGGCTTATTGCTTGATATTGTGAAGTAAGAACAGCATTGTTTAATATTATATGACCAGTCATAGTGCCACCGGACAGTTTCAAATAATTATCATCTATATATTTCTTGTTAACCCCATCAGTAGTATCAGTTGGGTCGGCTAGATTGGTTATCTTCTTACTGTTCATGTCCAGATCTTGATTTAGTCTATGATAACGTGCATCAGTATAACTCCTCGGCATAGCATATGAGTCACCTTTTGAATCTGTATAACGTGGAGATTTGAGATTATATATATATATCCATCGCTTACTCTCCTATTAGTCAGTCGTCCTCCATACCGTAGGAAAAAATGATTCAATATACTGTAATAGTTCATGACCTTGTTGCGCTTCGTTAAATAATTTAGGCTCGTGCTTATATTTGGAACTGATAATGTACCCGTCATCGTATCACCACTCTTCTTAACATACCGTCCATCACCGTAACTACGGGATACAGCATCCTCATCTTCTGTGGGATTAGCAAGATGAGTAATTTTATTATTGGACATGTTTAGTGGCCCAGCCATAACTCCACTGGACTTATCCAGGAATTTATTTTCTGACCAAACTTTTGAAGCTGGTTGATTATCACCATCTGGTTGTGCTACATTGTATATCCTGTTGCTATTCATATCCAAATTGCCGGTCATTATTCCACCAGATAGTGATAGTTTAGTATCAAGTTGATTTTTAGTTACGGCATCATCGGAAGCAGTTCCTTTAGCCACACTTGTCAGCTTTTGTTTGATATATCGTAATTCCCATCTGATGTGAGATTAAAACCAGTGCCTGATGCACCTTTAGGGCCAGTAGGACCAGTAGCACCCTTAGGGCCAGTAGATCCAGGGACACCCTGATCACCTTTTGGACCTTGGTTACCCTGAGCACCAGCGGGGCCAGGTGGGCCAGGAGGTCCTTGAGGGCCAGTAATTCCGCGTTTTTCTTTTGAGTATGATTGATTATAATTAGGTTGCTGATTAAATATTTCCATTTTATAATAATATATTAGATATTTCCATAAAAGTTTCTTTTGACGGTCTTCATTGGTTTGTCAACATACAGAAATGAGTACGGCGGTTTTGTTGCTTTAATATACTGATCCTTTGTTACATTCAACTCTCTAGAAATCATATTTCTCTCATTACTGCTAGGGAAATCATAAACAATATAATGGCTGCAGTTTAGTCTGATATCTTTTGGAGTTTTATAAAATGATTGTGAAAGGTAAATAACACTGCAGTTCTTATGTCGGCCTTGAATGAAATAATCGATAAGCGGCTTTTGGTTTTTATCACAAATGAAGTCGTCAAATATTACAATTTTCTGGGCATCACTTTCCAGACTATTGACAGGTTTAATGTCATAATTATTATAATGCATTATGTCATATCCAACCTGGCTACTAATATCATTCATTGTTTCTATCATGTGTCGATACTTTCCCTGTTCCAGATTTTTGCCATATAAATGGATCTGATCATAATAGACTAATGGTTTCATAAGGATGTGATAAAGTAAGTTTGTTCTGCCTGATCCTGAATTGCCACATATTAGCATCCGGAAATTGGACTTGGGCATATACTTGTACAGCTGTTTGAAGTTTGTATTTTCATCTTCATTGAAATCATAATTTGGAATCTCCATATAATATTATGTTAGATAATTCAAGATAAGTTCAGATAAGTTTTATATAACACAATAGTATAATGGATATAGAAAGTTTCAAGAGACTCAGTATTCCTAAAATTGAAGCAGGAAAAATGACTGAAGTTGTTAGGGATGTTATAAAGGAAGTCCGAACTAATAAGCAAAATGTATACGAAAAGACGTCTGAAGACCTGAAACCTCTAACAGAAAAGTTTGATAAGGAGATAGAGGAGATCAGTAAATTGAGAGAAGATGTTAATAAACAAATTATCCCCTATGGTGAACAAGTTCAAAGATTAGCATTACCAGACCCAAGTGGTGAGGTGGCACCCAAAATGATAGCTGATATGAATAAAGGATTTACTCAAGAAGAACTGGCATTCATACAAAACCAGCAATTGCCATTACCGGCTGACATCTTTTTGCAAACCTTAAAAGAGCCAAATTATGCGAAACAAATTCTGGATAAATCTGGTGAAATGAATAAGGCGTTAGGCAGGAAGAAAGCCCATTTGAGCACAACAAAAGCTAACAGAAAGAAGAATAAGGACCAGATTGCCGAATATGATGAAGGAATTGATATCATAAGAAAATACAGACAACGAATTGGTATTGTAGAGGAAGGTACAAAAACTCTAAAGGTTGGGAAAGGTATTTATACACAAAAAAAGAGGAATGCCTATAAGATTAACCCTAATACTGGTGTTTACGGAAATGTAACCATTGACGTGCCCAAACTTTATGGCCAGCTCAAACTAACTGCTCATAAGGATGGTAAAAAAGTATATGATAAGCAAGTCGACTTTGATACCCTTGATCTGCTCACAAAGCGGTTCAATAGTAAAAAGAAGTATTCACCATTATCAAAAATGGTATTTGATGACCTGAACAGAATAAGTGATATTCCAATTCACCGAACTAGTAATAAATACAAAAAAATCGGTTCAGGAGTTGTTTATTATAATAACCCAGCTGACTTACTGGACAGACTGGAATTGTTAGGTGGATCAATACTAGCTGGAAATAATGGTGTGAAAAATGAATTTTCCAAAATTGCTCATACACTAAACAAATTAGGTGTTCTAAATAATAACCAGCTTAATGGTCTGATAAAACAGTATATAAAGTAATCTAATAATATAAATGCAAGAAAGAGCAATCCATATTTCATCTGTTAATAGACAGAAAATCGTACAGAATAAAGCAGAAGATTTCATAATCAAATTTGATCCAGTCTTAAAACTCCAAAGTAATATGACACATGAAATAGCCTTGGATAAGGCAACAATGACTTACAGTTGGCACAATATTTCAGATCAGTATAAAAATAATCAAATAAAATACTCAACTGATGGTGGAACATCATGGGAAACCGTCAAATTTGTGGATGGGATGTACACTTATTCAGATCTAAATGACTATCTCCATCAGTACATGAAAAAGAAAGGCCATTTTACTACTGATGCAAAAAAGGATGATGTATATTACATTAACTTAACATTTGTCTTATCGACATATAAGATTCTCATTAAGATCGATAACAATTACCAACTGGATCTGATAAATAGTAAATTTGGCGAGTTAATTGGATTTACAGAAAAGATTGTAAAGAAAACAGATTATGGGGATGGTGATCTGCCTAATATCACAAATTCCATTGATATGATCTACATCAATACCGATGCCATTACGAACAGCATATTGAATGGTGTTAATACTAATACGTTAGCGGTCATTCCAACTGACAATTTAACAAGAAGCTTTCCATTCACATTTGAACCCAGAAGACTATTGTTTAATGAAGTTTCCCAACTTAATATTTCACAAGTGAGGTTTTATATCACAGACTCACTAGGGCGACCAATTGGACTAAATAAGATTGACTGGTTTATGACATTGATATTGCGATCCAAACCAGCATAATATGTAACCTAATAATATACAATGAGACAATCAGAATTCAAGAAACGTTATGATGTTAAAACGGGGAGATATGTTAAGAAGCATATTTATGGAGAAGGTGTTACCGATGTGTTCAAAACGATTGGTAGAAAGCTATTTGGAAAGACGATGAAAGAGGCTGCTGAAACGGCAACAAAAAAGGCCGTTCAAAAAGCTGCTACCAAAACTGGTGAATATGCTGGCGAAAAAGCCGGTGATAAAATTATTCAATTATTAAGCAAAAAGAATAAAAAGACACCGGTAGTAGCATCACCAGTAGCGACAACACCAACAAAAAATCCACAAAAGGAACTCACCGATTACGAAATTAATGAGAGGATGAATCAATTACTGTCTGGAGGTCAGATGAGAAGATTTATGTAATCTATTAATATAATGAAATGTTTTAGAGATCCAAAGTATGTTGAACGATATGAAGATGTTATTTTTGACCTAGAAACAGCACTAAATACAACTGTCGCCAATAATCGTCACCAAAAGAAAGATGGCTACAGGTTTGTTGTTGATAACAGTGGTGAGGTTACACCATTTGACTGGTATAATGCTCGTATCAGTCTTGATTTTAAAGTAGTCTTACTGGCTAATGGAGGTAACATTGCAGTAGCAGATCATAATGGAATTGTAAACGGGTCGTACTCATTCTTGAAACATTTTGATATTAAGCTAAACGGTAAGAAAGTGTATGATTGCAATGACGCGAATCACGCCGTAAATATTAAGAATTTACTTGAGTACAGTCCCGCTTACGCCAGTAAGACAGCAAGTAGTGAGTTTTTCTTCCTTGATACAACCAGAAATGCGGAAGGGAGGGAATTTGAAGTTAGCGTTACAAATCAGTTAGCTAAAAGGCGAGCAGCTTACAATAAAGGTTTTGCCCTTCGAAAAGCACTCTTAGGTGTTTCATCTACAGTAAATACAGAAATACCACTGAACCGATACTCGTTTTTGGAAATGTTAGAGGATGAGCTGTTACCTAATACAAGAGTTGAGATGAATTTTGAGATCGAGTCCGATGGTAATCTAATTTGGCAAGCCGGGGCTGATTGCAGGGTGGTTATCACCAGGATGCAATTGTATGTTCCACAGATAACCTTCAATAGTGAGGGACAATCATCCTACATGAGCCAATACCTTAAAAATCATAAGTGGACTTATTTGAGAGAGAATATAGAAAGATCAAATAGTAGCCAGCAGAGGGCTGGGCATTTCAGAATCTCTTCTGGTATTTCGAAACCCCGACACGTGTTTGTATTCATAATCAATGATGCGAATATCGATTCCCAGACAGCTAATCCATTCTTGTACAACACATTCTCTATATCAACTGACCCAAGAACCTTATCCAATTGTCACCTGGAAGTTGGAAACGGAAATGAATACCCCGAAATACATTACACACCAAGTACTGATATGACTAGAGTCTTTAGGGATGTGTCGAAATATGTTCACAAAAATAATGAATACGGTGAAGGGTCATTACTCAATAAATCTAATTTTAGCACGCTATTCCCCTTCTTATATTTCGACCTTACAAAACAAAAAATGGACATTAAGGATGGCACCACAAAACTGACATTTAAATATGAGCTATCTGGAACAACGACAACAGCCTACTCAATTTACGCATTAACATTATATGAGCAAGATGTTGAGCTAATACAAGATAAGCAAGTCGACTTTGATACCCTTGATCTGCTCACAAAGCGGTTCAATAGTAAAAAGAAGTATTCACCATTATCAAAAATGGTATTTGATGACCTGAACAGAATAAGTGATATTCCAATTCACCGAACTAGTAATAAATACAAAAAAATCGGTTCAGGAGTTGTTTATTATAATAACCCAGCTGACTTACTGGACAGACTGGAATTGTTAGGTGGATCAATACTAGCTGGAAATAATGGTGTGAAAAATGAATTTTCCAAAATTGCTCATACACTAAACAAATTAGGTGTTCTAAATAATAACCAGCTTAATGGTCTGATAAAACAGTATATAAAGTAATCTAATAATATAAATGCAAGAAAGAGCAATCCATATTTCATCTGTTAATAGACAGAAAATCGTACAGAATAAAGCAGAAGATTTCATAATCAAATTTGATCCAGTCTTAAAACTCCAAAGTAATATGACACATGAAATAGCCTTGGATAAGGCAACAATGACTTACAGTTGGCACAATATTTCAGATCAGTATAAAAATAATCAAATAAAATACTCAACTGATGGTGGAACATCATGGGAAACCGTCAAATTTGTGGATGGGATGTACACTTATTCAGATCTAAATGACTATCTCCATCAGTACATGAAAAAGAAAGGCCATTTTACTACTGATGCAAAAAAGGATGATGTATATTACATTAACTTAACATTTGTCTTATCGACATATAAGATTCTCATTAAGATCGATAACAATTACCAACTGGATCTGATAAATAGTAAATTTGGCGAGTTAATTGGATTTACAGAAAAGATTGTAAAGAAAACAGATTATGGGGATGGTGATCTGCCTAATATCACAAATTCCATTGATATGATCTACATCAATACCGATGCCATTACGAACAGCATATTGAATGGTGTTAATACTAATACGTTAGCGGTCATTCCAACTGACAATTTAACAAGAAGCTTTCCATTCACATTTGAACCCAGAAGACTATTGTTTAATGAAGTTTCCCAACTTAATATTTCACAAGTGAGGTTTTATATCACAGACTCACTAGGGCGACCAATTGGACTAAATAAGATTGACTGGTTTATGACATTGATATTGCGATCCAAACCAGCATAATATGTAACCTAATAATATACAATGAGACAATCAGAATTCAAGAAACGTTATGATGTTAAAACGGGGAGATATGTTAAGAAGCATATTTATGGAGAAGGTGTTACCGATGTGTTCAAAACGATTGGTAGAAAGCTATTTGGAAAGACGATGAAAGAGGCTGCTGAAACGGCAACAAAAAAGGCCGTTCAAAAAGCTGCTACCAAAACTGGTGAATATGCTGGCGAAAAAGCCGGTGATAAAATTATTCAATTATTAAGCAAAAAGAATAAAAAGACACCGGTAGTAGCATCACCAGTAGCGACAACACCAACAAAAAATCCACAAAAGGAACTCACCGATTACGAAATTAATGAGAGGATGAATCAATTACTGTCTGGAGGTCAGATGAGAAGATTTATGTAATCTATTAATATAATGAAATGTTTTAGAGATCCAAAGTATGTTGAACGATATGAAGATGTTATTTTTGACCTAGAAACAGCACTAAATACAACTGTCGCCAATAATCGTCACCAAAAGAAAGATGGCTACAGGTTTGTTGTTGATAACAGTGGTGAGGTTACACCATTTGACTGGTATAATGCTCGTATCAGTCTTGATTTTAAAGTAGTCTTACTGGCTAATGGAGGTAACATTGCAGTAGCAGATCATAATGGAATTGTAAACGGGTCGTACTCATTCTTGAAACATTTTGATATTAAGCTAAACGGTAAGAAAGTGTATGATTGCAATGACGCGAATCACGCCGTAAATATTAAGAATTTACTTGAGTACAGTCCCGCTTACGCCAGTAAGACAGCAAGTAGTGAGTTTTTCTTCCTTGATACAACCAGAAATGCGGAAGGGAGGGAATTTGAAGTTAGCGTTACAAATCAGTTAGCTAAAAGGCGAGCAGCTTACAATAAAGGTTTTGCCCTTCGAAAAGCACTCTTAGGTGTTTCATCTACAGTAAATACAGAAATACCACTGAACCGATACTCGTTTTTGGAAATGTTAGAGGATGAGCTGTTACCTAATACAAGAGTTGAGATGAATTTTGAGATCGAGTCCGATGGTAATCTAATTTGGCAAGCCGGGGCTGATTGCAGGGTGGTTATCACCAGGATGCAATTGTATGTTCCACAGATAACCTTCAATAGTGAGGGACAATCATCCTACATGAGCCAATACCTTAAAAATCATAAGTGGACTTATTTGAGAGAGAATATAGAAAGATCAAATAGTAGCCAGCAGAGGGCTGGGCATTTCAGAATCTCTTCTGGTATTTCGAAACCCCGACACGTGTTTGTATTCATAATCAATGATGCGAATATCGATTCCCAGACAGCTAATCCATTCTTGTACAACACATTCTCTATATCAACTGACCCAAGAACCTTATCCAATTGTCACCTGGAAGTTGGAAACGGAAATGAATACCCCGAAATACATTACACACCAAGTACTGATATGACTAGAGTCTTTAGGGATGTGTCGAAATATGTTCACAAAAATAATGAATACGGTGAAGGGTCATTACTCAATAAATCTAATTTTAGCACGCTATTCCCCTTCTTATATTTCGACCTTACAAAACAAAAAATGGACATTAAGGATGGCACCACAAAACTGACATTTAAATATGAGCTATCTGGAACAACGACAACAGCCTACTCAATTTACGCATTAACATTATATGAGCAAGATGTTGAGCTAATACAGAAAGATGGTAAAATAATATTCAGATCGTAAATTATGTAACGTATATTATATATAAGTAATGACGAAGTATTATCCTTATGGTGTGTCACTTAGTAAAGGACAATTGGAAAAGCTTTCGAGAGCTTATAATAATAACTCAGCAATAACGATTAGATTAGCCAGAAATGAGTTATCCGGCCCACATGAATTAATGCTAACAAAATCTCAGATCAATAATTTGAAAAAGGCAATGAGCCAGGGTACAGGGTCGGATTTCAAAATATCAAAAACACAAATCAGAAAGGCTGTCAGACAGGGTGGTAGTTTGTGGGGATCATTAATCAATTTAGGAAGCAAGTTGTTACCTATGGCAATGCCCCTAGCCAAAAAAGCTATCGCACCGCTTGCAACAGGAGCGTTATCAGGATTAGCCAGTTTAGGTGTGGATAAAATATTCGGAAAAGGTCAACGAGGAGGATTCCTTATTCCAATGGACAAAATAGCACATTTGGTTGCATATAAACATTTACTGAACACAGGTCAGAAAAAGGATATTCTCAATGCTCTCCAAACTGGCAACGGATTAGTTATCAGACCGACGAAAACACAGCAGGGTGGTTTTTTAGGAACTCTGCTAGCGAGTATAGGAGTCCCACTATTACTAAACGCATTGACGGGAAAAGATCTGCAGGCTGACAGAACCGGTTCCGCTAATACAACATCTGTTTATGTTCCCGATACAACTAATGGTCATGGAATGTATAATCCATATCCCTATATGTCGCCACCCTTCTTTGGAACATGGGAAAACCCCACTGGTATGGGAGTAAAAAAAAAAAGAAAGGGAAAGGGACAATACTATAAAATTCATAAACAAACCGTTATCGAATATTGATCTGTTACAATGGGTCAAACAATTAGGAATAAAATATTTTAGAGGTGTATTTAGCCGTGATAATTTACCACAAAAAATACACAAATTGGAAACAGGAATAATTAATTTGGATGATTCAATGGGCGCGGGCAGTCATTGGGTCTGTTATAGAAACGTGGATAAGCAATATTGTGAGTATTTTGATCCATTCGGATTAATCATGCCCAATGAAATCAAAAATTATCTGAAAACAAGCGGTAAAAAAATGGTGTACTCATCAGATGAAATACAAGAAAGAGACAGTGTTTTGTGTGGTTATCGGTGCTTATATTATAAACTGGAGGGACAGAAAGGGAAATCATTATTAGACGTTATACACAACCCCAAATTCAGTTTTACAAATCAAATGATAAATCACCAATTTCTGATAAACTATTTTATGTAACACTATTATATATGACTGAAAAGTTCTGTGTTTATTGCCAAGAAGTTACTCCACATTATGTGGATCAATATGGACGTTTCGAGTGCTGCAACTGTGAACCCCTGAGTGAGAGTGATTATGAGTCAGATAGCAGCCATGAAACGTATGTTCCAGATAGTGATTAGACAATAATTATATAACACAAATATATAATAATGGTGAAATCTTATTGTGTTAAACAAAAGAAGCAAACAGAATGTGTAGAACCTTCGGGCTATAAAAGTGCCAAAAATGGTAGACTTATGTTTTGGTGTACTTGTGCTGAATGTGGAATAAAAAAGTTTAAGTTTGTCAAGAAGGGAAACTAGGTCAGCCTGTTCTAGGGGCAGGCGTAATCGATACAATAGCTGGTAGTGCTCTTGATGGGTTTGTACATCATGCTTTACCTTATATGGCAAAAAAGACCGTTGAGATGGGAAGATATTACGGGTCAGAAGCGCTCAGAAACCCTAAATTACAGAAAAAAGCTATCGACTACGCTCTGGACAAATTAAATCGAATGATCCAGAATGTCGGTTCTTAACCAATTATCAACTAAAATACGACCAAAAAAGAACTACAAAACTAACAGAAAAGATTTGGATGGAGGTGCTATAGATATCCACAAGCAGATTGGTAAATTACCAAAACCAGCAGGTGGATGGACCTTACCAGGACATCGGTATACAGGCCCCTACAACGATCTCGAAAATCAAGTCAGATACAATCCAGAAACTGGTGAAATATTAGAAATTTATGATCAACCAACTGGGCCAACCGACGCCGTGGCCATGCAACATGATGTCGATTATAGTGTTTGTGGTGATAACCGAAAGTGCAAAAATAAAGCTGACCGTAAAATGGTAAAATCATTAGACGCCATTCCTTATAATGAACGACAATGGGGTCACTGGTTAGCTAGAAATCTAATAAACACAAAACAAAAACTCGGTCTTGGTTTAAACTAGAAAAGCCGTCGGGTATCAGTTGGCAACAGCAATTAGCGGATGAATTACATAAACCAACAAAACGCAACTTTACTCGGCGGCGTGTTATTACAACCGGTATTGACAAAATTTGGTGCTCAGATCTGGTTGAGATGCAACAGCTCAGCAAATGGAACAAGGGTTATAGATATCTTCTTATGGTTCTAGATCTATTCTCCAAATATGGCTGGATTGTACCATTAAAGGATAAGAAAGGGGAAACTGTCACAGAAGCATTCAAACCCATCTTCAAAGAGGGCCGTAAACCACAATATCTTTTGACTGATAAGGGGAAAGAATATTATAACGAAAGTATGAAAGAACTGTTGGAAAAGAATAATATAACACTATATTCAACCGAGAATGAGGAAAAATCTAGTGTGTGTGAAAGATGGAACCGTACAATTAAAATCAGAATGTGGAAGCAGTTTACTGTCCAGGGTAATACCCAATATCTTGACATACTACCAAAANCATGCAACATGATGTCGATTATAGTGTTTGTGGTGATAACCGAAAGTGCAAAAATAAAGCTGACCGTAAAATGGTAAAATCATTAGACGCCATTCCTTATAATGAACGACAATGGGGTCACTGGTTAGCTAGAAATCTAATAAACACAAAACAAAAACTCGGTCTTGGTTTAAACTAGAAAAGCCGTCGGGTATCAGTTGGCAACAGCAATTAGCGGATGAATTACATAAACCAACAAAACGCAACTTTACTCGGCGGCGTGTTATTACAACCGGTATTGACAAAATTTGGTGCTCAGATCTGGTTGAGATGCAACAGCTCAGCAAATGGAACAAGGGTTATAGATATCTTCTTATGGTTCTAGATCTATTCTCCAAATATGGCTGGATTGTACCATTAAAGGATAAGAAAGGGGAAACTGTCACAGAAGCATTCAAACCCATCTTCAAAGAGGGCCGTAAACCACAATATCTTTTGACTGATAAGGGGAAAGAATATTATAACGAAAGTATGAAAGAACTGTTGGAAAAGAATAATATAACACTATATTCAACCGAGAATGAGGAAAAATCTAGTGTGTGTGAAAGATGGAACCGTACAATTAAAATCAGAATGTGGAAGCAGTTTACTGTCCAGGGTAATACCCAATATCTTGACATACTACCAAAAATATTAGAGCAATATAACAACACCAAACACAGTTCCATTAAAATGACACCTTCAGAAGCTAGTAAGAAGAAGAATGAAAATGCCGTATATTATAATCTGTATGGTGATATGGAGCAATCATCATCTAAGCCCAAATTCAAGATTGGTGATAAAGTTAGGATAAGTAAGTACAAGAGAAAGGTGTTTGATAAAGGGTACACACCTAACTGGACAGAAGAGATATTCCTGATTGATAAAATCCAATCCACAAACCCGATCACATACAGATTAAAGGATCTCAATAATGAGGAAATACAAGGCAGCTTTTATGAGCCAGAATTACTACCGGCAAAACAGGACGTATTTCGCATTGAAAAGGTCATTCGGAGAGATTATAAGAAGAAACAAGCTCTTGTAAAATGGTTGGGCTATAGTGACGACTTTAATAGTTGGATTCCACTAAGCAACCTGCAAGAATTATCTAACTAATAGTATATAAGGACGATCATATAAGAAAGCTTGATACTAAAATCCAGTGTAAGGAAACTGAGCTTAATGCACTATTCACTAAAATCCAAAAATTGGAGGAAGAAATTGCGACATTATACCACAAGAAAGTAATATCCAAAAAACTGGAAACAGCTGAGATGACATTAACAAGCGTCTTAGGTGCAATCTTTGAAACAGAGGAAGAGGAAGAGTAATTTGCCAGCGTCCATAAAACGTGGACGGTGGGTTGGGCCCTGAAACGGGGCGTCAACAAAATGACACTAGAGGAAAATAAATTGCGGCAGTTTTGTTGGGGTGTGGTAAAACGCCACCTCAGGTCTAATGTGCTGAAACGGCACCTCAGGCCTAGCAAACTTTTTAATCGATCATTCTTATCATATAATATGGTCTGAATGATGATGTTTTTTATGTAATCTATATATATGATAAGAATGATTGAAAAAAAGTTTATTAATGAAGATTTAGAAATTGAACTGACATCATTTATTGATGATAAGCAAAATGTTTGGTTCAAAGGTAAGGATGTTGCTGTTATTCTCGGTTATAGTGACACCGATCAAGCCATAAGATATAATGTTGACCCCGAGGACCGAAAATCTTTTCGCGTAAACTATACGGGTTATTCTCAGAGAGGACGGCCTCCTATTTTTATAAATGAATCCGGTTTCTACTCCCTTGTTTTATCATCAAAATTAGAAACTGCTAAAAAGTTCAAACATTGGGTAACTTCACAAGTCCTCACATCTATCCGTAAATATGGCCAATATAAACTGTTTGATAGTCCCTGGAATAAGATGATCATGATTGACAATGAGACTGACCTCCATTACAAAGTAGTGAGCCTCATAAGGAGATATTATCCAGATTCCATATTAGTAGCCGGGCTGGGTGAAAATCAAGATACTGAAGACAGACGCCTTGATTCATATAAGAAAGGATATATGATAGGACAGCCTGATCTAATGGTACTCGATTATCACAAAGATTATAAGGGCCTCTGTATTGTATTCAAATCACCAACTAATAATTATCATGTTTCAAAAGCACAATATGAGTTGATGGAAAAATACAGTAATAATGGCTATAAATTTATCCTGAGTAACGACTATGATGAAATCTGTATAGAAGTACATGATTATATGAAAGGCATTAGATTGCCGTGTAATTATTGCATCAAATATTTCCATAATAAAGACACCCTTACTACCCATTACAGGGTTATCCACAGGATTATCTAATTAATTAGTATATGAATGCTGACCAATTATTAGACAACTATAATGAACTCCAAAAGATAGAATTACGAAAAAATCTGAATACATTCACTCTCAAAGAGCTCAAAAAAGAAATCATCAAAATGAAAGCTGATAAGTTTGCTGTTACAAAAATGAAAGGACGACAGATTATTGAATTAATTGTACAATATCATTATCTTTTTCCTCATTTATTGACAAAACAAGGTTCCAAAGGTACCAAACGAAAGGGTAATAAACAAAAACCCAATTTTCCGCAACTAACACACATGCCTAATTATTCAACAAATTCTATGGCGCCATCTAACACACAATTACCACCATTAACACAGAAACATCTTGAAAATTTATACAAACTAACCGCTAATAATTCTAACTAACTGACCTAATCAACCGGTTATCTAACTGACTAACTATCTGACTATCTGACTATCTAATTTATTCGCTACTTTCTTTCACCCAATGTAGCATTAATTTGATCACCTCAACCGGTATTTTCCGCTTTTCCCGTAATTTGTGTTTAAAACTAGTTATTATTTT